TTCCATGTGGGGGCTGACCAGTCCTTAGAGCTTCTCTGAGGCAGATTTTTCCTTTTTCCACTGAGCAGCAAAACAATGCTGGGACAATGCTGAAATTTACTTGGGACAATGCTGAAATTTACCTGAGCCTTGTGTGTCTGGAAAACAGCAACCGTTAAGAAATCCTTCCTAGACATTTCCATTTCAGGAATGGGCTTACTGGAAAGAAGCTCCCTTCCTCATGACTCAGAGAAGACCCATGGATGGCCCCGTTGTTTACCCAAGACAGTGCCACACACAGACCCTTCAAATTCCCCACCCCCCAAAAAGGAGGTTTGGGGGGCTCATAAATGATTAGCTGAACTGTTTTGTCCCCATTGATCCATCAGAGCAAAATGTTTGTTAACCAAACCTAGATTGAGTTGTTCCCCCCGACTCCCTGGAATCCGGAACTTTGGTCATTCTCAGCCTGACCCCTCCTCCACCTTGCCATAATCCTAATAAAGTCTCTCCTTACCAGGTCTGAATTTCATTTTATTAAAGTGAATTCACATAGTATAAAATTGGCCATTTTAAAGCGAACAATTCACTGGCATTTAGTATATTCACAGTGTTGTGCAACCACCACCTCTATCTAGTTCCAGAACATTCCCATCACTCCATGCCCATGGGGCAGTTACTTCACATTCCCCTCACCCCCCACTTGTTTTTGTCTGATGCTTGCAGTTCTGTGCTGGAGGAGTGAATTTAATTCTTGTTCACCCTTGATGGTTTTAGTCTTTGGGGTCGGTAGTGGGTTGAATAATGGCCCCCCAAAAGATACACCCATGTCCTAACTAGCACCTGGGAGCCTATGAATGTGACTATATTTGCAAAAAACACAGATATGGGCTCTAAATGCAATGGCAAGTGTCCTTATCAGAGACAGAAGACAGACACCACCAGAGAGGAGGGAGGAGAGACCATGTGACCACAGAAGCAGAGACTGGGGTGATGCATTCACACCCCCAGGGATGCCTGGGGAAGTCACGTGCTGACCCTGCACCTGCAGGTCCTTAGCTGATGGACCTGAGCTCAACAGGTGAATTCACCTTCATGCCCTGACCCCACCTGGGGCAGCTCCGGGACTCCAGGGTTCAAGGGCTGTGCGGGGCTCAGGATTCGGCTCTCCCCAGCCCAGCTCAGCCTGACAGGCATGTTCAGGTGTGGAGGTACCCCTTCCAAGACTGGAAGAAATGAGTCTCATGTGCAGAACGAGCCAGAGGCTGGGGGCAGCTACTACTGAGTCTTCCCTAATGAGTGGGCAGGCTCTGCAGGACTACTTCATATTTTCACTGTTAGAAGCACAATTTTTCTGCTTTTAAACACTTCAGTGGGGCTCCTGTTGCTCCGGAAATAATGATCCAAATCCCTAATATGGTACCCAAGATACACATGGTCTCTCTCAATATTAGCTTAGCAAGACTGACACACACACACACACACACACACACACGGATGTTATTCCTCGTGAGTCCCAGGAGGCTCTCTACCCTCCTCTTTCTCCCAGGAAGGGTGGCCTCTGTATCCAGGCAACTGGACCCCGGTTGTCAGGCCAAGGAGACCCAGAGGCAGTGATGTCTCCTAGAGAAGAGAAAGAATTAGGGCTCTTCTTTTCCCCTGGACGCTGCCTGGCATTGGGTGACTCTTCGGTCCTCAGCACCCACAATGTGTCAATGCTATGTGATCCTGGGTCCCTGGAATCCTGCTGGTGGCTCACCCCTTCCCCTCATTTTTTCTGCTCATCTACTGGAAAAGCAACGAACTGCTTACTTGATTTGAAAGAAGGGAAGTTTGAGGGGCCCATCTTGCAATTTTGCAGAAATCAAAAAACTGACTCAAACCAAGAGTGACGGAGTTGGAGACAGAGGTCCCGGTGTCCCTGATCCACAGAGCCTCCCCCCGGGGCGGGGGGGGGGGCTTCAGGGCTTCTGTCCACGGGGCCCAGGTCTGGTTGTGGACCATATAGTCGCAATGGTCACTGGAGGGATGGGCAGGGAACACAATGCCCTTGGATCCACACGCCACGGGTTGGGGACGTGCTCTGCTGATGCTGTGTGGTGTCCCTGTGGTACACTTTTAGTTAAAAGTGACAAGTCGCCTCCTGTTTGAGGGACAAGTGGTTGAGGAGTTAAGTGGGGAACCGGTTACAGATGCAAAGGAACTGAAGCTTTCTGTGTGCGGTCTCGGACTGGGCTTGTCCCATTTGGGGACTCAGCAATCTTCCTGGTCAGCAACTTCCCGGCGGAGGCAGGCTCTGCGGGGGGCTCGCTGCGAGCTGACGCCGCGGGGCCACCAGGGGGCGCGCCGAGCCCCGGTCTGGCACCGCCTCCCCCTGGCTTCCTGCCCCCGCCCCGGAGGAGGGAGACAGTCTGTTCTGGGGTCCCCACGACCACCCTGAGGTTCGATGATTCACTAGAAGGACCTGAAGAGGGCGCCTGGGTGGCTCAGATGGTTAAGCGTCTGCCTTCGGCTCAGGTCGTGATCTCAGGGTCCTGGGATCGAGTACCGCATCGGGCTCCCTGCTCCTTGGGAGCCTGCTTCTCCCTCTGCCTCTCTCTCACTCTCTCTCTGTCTCTCATGAATAAATAAATAAAATTAAAAAAAAAAAAAGAATTACAATAGAAGGACCTGAAGAACAACTCCTATTGTTTTAAGCCACCTAGCCTGTACAGCTTTGCTAAGGCAGCCCCGGTGTCGCAAAGACGTGCAGCGACTGCATGGTGACTTAAGTTGTTCAGATTCTAGCCCCTCCAGGGGTCGGACTGATCCAGTGCCTATCTGCTGTGGCCCAAGGCCCCCAGGTAAACCAGGGCACTCTTACCAGGCAGGACATTCCAAGAGCTCAGGGGTTCTGCTGGAGGAGCCGGGCAAAGGCCGGACCAATCTTTGCTTCAGGCTAATTCTTTACTACATGCACAGCTGGGAAGCTGAGGAATTGGGTTGCAGAGAAGCAGGGAGGCCCCGGGTATGCGTCTAGAATTCCGATGTTGTGCCAATTCTTCAAGAGAGAGATGCTCATGGACCCAGCTCCTGGGCGGTGGTGACCACGCTTCCCTGTTGGGGCAGGTCTGAGCCTGGAAGCTTCTCGCCAGAGCCGGCTACGTAATTTGTGGAGCCCAGAGCAAAATGAAAATGTGGGGGCCCTGTGACAAAAAGCAGGAAGAAGCTCTTTCCTTTCTTCCAGGGACTGTCTCTCTTGACCTGTGGTGTGGTTTGGTTTTTGTCTTCTTTACACTAAAAAAAAAAAAAAAAAAAAAAAAAAAGTGATAAAAACACATAAGATAAAGTTTACCATTTAATTTAATTTATTTATTTTTATTTTTATTTATTTATTTATTTTTTAAAGATTTTATTCATTTGACGGAGAGAGACACAGCGAGAGAGGGAACACAAGCAGGGGGAGTGGGAGAGGGAGAAGCAGGCCTCCCGGCCGAGCAGGGAACCCGATGCGGGGCTCGATCCCAGGACCCTGGGACCATGACCTGAGCTGAAGGCAGACACTTAACGACTGAGCCACCCAGTCACCCCAGGTGGCACCTTTTTTTTAAAAAAAAAAATATTTTATTTATTTATTTGAGAGAGAGAGAGACTGAGAGGAGGTAGGGGCAGAGGGAAAAGCAGACACCATGCTGAGCAGGGAGCCTGACATGGGGCTCGATCCCAGGACCCTGGGATCATGACCTGAGCTGAAGGCAGCCGCTTAACAGAGACACCCAAGTGCCTCAGTAGGCAGCAGTTTCAATAAGCAAAGAGAACTTAAATACAGGGCTTATCTTGGGCAGTAGCAAGACCAGTGGACCCTGCACCTGCCCTCCAGATCTTAAAGTTTATATACAGGGAGGCCTTAACTGAGCTCAGTCACCTACATACTGCAGGTGTTCTCAAGGCTGTGAGTCCTTCGAGCAGCATCTGGGAGCAGGAAAGGCACGCAGAACCCACATTCCAAGCACGGGGAGGGGGTGAGGAGCCTCAGTGGCCTGGGTCCCATCTTCTCGATGACCTTCCCCAACAGCTAGTTAATGTCCTGTCCTTCAGGCTTGACTGGGGGGTGGGCACTGTAGACCTTCACAGGTGTCTGGGGCTCCCAACTCTCAACTCAGCAAAGCTCAGACCCTCTCTGTGCCCAGGTAGGGCTTGGGGGTGGGAGTGGGCCTGAGAACCTGCCCTGGGGATGGGGGATGGGGGAGGTGGGGGATGCGGGAGGTGGAGGGTGGGGGAGGCGTGTGATCCAAGGATCCAATTTCCCCCTCCGGTGCTCCTCATCCCATTAGACTTCAGTTACAAAACACAAATTCAAATCTAGGGGCGCTTGGGTGGCTCAGTCAGTCAAGCGTCCAATTCTTGATCTCAGGGTTGTAAGTTCAAGCCCTGCGTCCTTAAAAAAAAAAAACACAAAACCTTAAAGAAGAAATAAAATGATTAAGGATTTCAAGGTGGCGACCTCAGAGAGCGTCCCACCCCAAGTGTGAGGCCCTTCTGAGTGCGGGGACCCTGTGTCCCTGCCGGCTTCTCACTGTGGAGCTAGGAGCTTGTGTGGACTGCAGACACAGCCCAAAGGCTGGCGGGGAAGCTGAGTGCCCTTGGGGAGCCAGAGGGCATTGGGTTTGGGGGGAGTCACATGAGGTGTGGTGCCTGAGGGCAGGAGTCAGGCGGGTCATGTTGTCCCCTGTGTCCCCAGTCCCTGTAGGGAGTAGATGTTTGCCTGGTGAATGAATGAATGAGGGAATGAATCCTGCCCCCAGCACATCACCTGGAGCCCTTTCTCCCCTATTCCCCCTGAAAGCCCCGCTGCTCTGGCCGCCCTCATCTGAGGCCCAGGCCGGGCTCCTTCCCTGTGTAGGGCAAGCCCCGTGTCCTTTCTGCTCTGCTTCTTCCATTTGTGAAAGCAGAAGTGGGAAGAAGGGATTTGTCAGGACTTTGTGGTTCCCTTTCGGAGGTTCCGCTTCCATGGATGGTGACTACCCTCTTCTTCCCCCAAGAAGCTTCCTGTTGGAGTTTCCTTCTGGGACAGACAGGCGGGTCCAGAAGCCAGATGGTCTGAGGACAGGCCCCCGGGATCGTGGAGATGCTATTGCCACTGCTGTCCGTGCTGTTGGCCGGTGAGCGGGCCGAGGGCCGGGGGGGGGGGGGGGGGCGGGCGGTGCTGGTGCGGATGCGGCTGCTGAGCCTGTGTGTCCCCGCAGGGTCCCTGCAGGAGGATCCAGGGTTCAAGCTCCGAGTGCAGGACTCAGTGACGGTGCAGGAGGGTCTGTGTGTCCACGTGCCCTGCTCCTTCTCCTTCCCCGGGGTGGGCGGGAGCAACTCTACACCCGCTTACGGCTCCTGGTACCAGATAAAGAATAATCCCAAAGTGGATGTTCTCATGGCCACAAACAACCCAGCCAGAAGAACAAAGAGGAAAAACAAATTTCCATTCCACCTTCCTGGAGACCCTGGGGCCGGCAACTGCTCCCTGAGCATCACGGATGCCCAGAGGGGCCACGGTGGAAACTATTATTTTCACCTGGACAGAGGTCTCACGAGACACACGTACAAGAGTAACAGGCTCACTGTGCATGTGAGAGGTAGGGAGGGTCCCCAAGAGTCAGTCACGGGGGCGGGGCATGTCCTCAAGGGCAGAAATGGACCCTCTGCTGCTCATCTTTAACGGGGAGAATGGAGCATGGTCTGTTCAACGTTGGGGTGAACCCAACCTGTTTCAGAGGCACACACGGGGGTCCCCTCTGGGGTCCGGCCCCTCCTTCTCTCCTCTCCAGCGCTGACACAGACCCCAGATATCCGGGTCAAGGAGCCCCTGGAGTCCGGCTGCCCCAGCCACCTGACATGCTCTGTGCCAGGGGCCTGTGATGGGTCGATGCCCCTCACCATCTCCTGGACAGGGACTGCCCTCAGAGCCCCGGGACTGGACTTGGAGGCCTCTAACTCCTCGGAGATCCTGCTCACACCCCGCCCGCAGGACCACGGCACCAACCTCACCTGTCGGGTGACCTTCCCCAGGGTTGGCGTGAGCACCCAAAGCACCATTATGCTCAACGTCTCCTGTGCGTGTAGGGCCTGGACTCGGGTGCCTGTGGGGTAGGGCGGGGGGGCTCAGAGGGGCTGCAGGGAGGACACAGGACTTGTCTGTGTCAATTCCCATTCCTGTGTCTCCTGGGGGTGGGTGGCGGGGAAGGGCCAGCTCCGACCCCATTCGTCAATGTGTCTCTCTGTCCCAGATGCCCCACAGAACCTGAGCATCGGCATCTCTCGAGGAAATTGCACAGGTAGGTCGGGAGGCCCCCCCGCTAAGGCTGGTTGGGAGCAGATCCCCCCGGAGAGCAGAGCCTGGAGCTCGAACCCAAGCCGGGAGGGCCAGGGTGACACACAGGGAGAGCAGAGTCAGGAGGCCCCCCCTTCACTGAGTGACAGATGATCTTTGCTTACTATTCATTATATGCAAAGACTATTTGTCACATGCATGCAAGTTACAAAGAATCACCATCGAATGAACACTTGGTACTCACCACCCAGGTTAAGAAATAGAACAGGGGCACCTGCCTGGCTTGGTCTGTGGTGCATGCGACTCTTGATCTTAGGGTCGAGTTTGAGCCCTGCGTTGGGCATGGAGCCTACTTAAAAAAAAAAAAAAAAAAAAATAGAACAGCGACTCCACCTTTCGAACACCCTAAATGCTCTTTCCCAATTTCAGCCCCTTCCATCTGGCCTCAGAGAAAGCCACTACACTGGATGCTGTGTTACCATCCTATTTTATTTTACTTTATTTTTGATGAAGGTATAATTGATGAACAAATTGTATATATTTATTTATTTTTTAAAGATCTTATTTATTTATTTGACAGAGACAGAGATAGCGAGAGCAGGAACACAAGCAGCGGGAGGGGGAGAGGGAGAAGCAGGCCTCCCCCCGAGGAGGGAGCCCAATGTGGGACTTGATCCCAGGACCCTGGGATCATGACCCGAGCCGAAGGCAGACGCTTAACGACTGAGCCACCCAGGCGCCCTAAGTTGTATATATTTAAAGTGTATAACGTGATGATTTCATGTATGTAGAGTCGATATACCTTTACACTGCTAAAGGATGCATACCATCCAGTTAATTAACACGTCCATGTATCTTCTATTTTCTCATAATTTTCCGAAATACGTGTCTGGCTTCTTCCACTCAGCATGACGTGATCAAGGTTCATCCCTGCCGTAGCACGGGTCAGCGGTTCACTCTTGTTAGGCTGATTATTTTTCCGTTGTATGGAGAGACCACCATCCATCCATCCATCCGTCTGTCCTCGGATGGACATTTGGGTTGTTTCCACCTTGGGGCTCCTGTCGACAGGGCCGCTCTGAACATTTCCCTACAAGGATCTATTTGACTCGCCGCTTCCAGATCTTTTGGATCTACTCCTAGGAGTGGATTTGCGGAGTCATGGCCCCCTATTCTGATGTGGCTCCACCTCATGTTCTTGCTTGTGGCTGTAATTTCTGCCTCTCCTTGTCTGTAGGTATCACGTTAGTTTCACATTCCACTCTTTTAAGATTTTTATTTATTTGACAGAGAGGGAGGGAGAGAGCGAGCGCGCACAAGCAGGGGGAGCAGCGGAGGGAGAGGAAGAAGCAGGCTCCCCAATGAGCAAGGAGCCCGATGTGGGGCTCGATCCCAGGACCCTGGGATCATGACCTGAGCCGAAGGCAGACGCTTAACCGACTGAGCCACCCAGGCGCCCCTCACATTCCACTCTTGATGGGCACTTGAGTTGTCCCCAGATTTTAGTTTTCATGATGCTGCTTTGAACATTCCCCTCGTGAACAGAAGTGTTTCCCTAGGGCGCCTGGGTGGCTCAGTTGGTTAAGCGATTGCCTTCGGCTCAGGTCATGATCCTGGAGGCCCTGGATCGAGTCCCGCATCGGGCTCCCTGCTCAGCAGGGAGTCTGCTTCTTCCTCTGACCCTCCCCCCGTCTCATGTGCTCTCTCTCTCTCTCAAATAAATAAATAAATAAAATCTTTAAAAAAAAAAGAAGTGTTTCCCTAGGCTGTACCTCACAAGTCCTGTTGAGCACAAAGTTTTCTCAGCGATCTTATGACAATGCAGATGTGACTCACACAGCCCGAGGGGCCTCTGGTTCTGCATTTTTTTTTTTTTATAAAGATTTTATTTATTTTTTGACAGTGAGAGAGAGAGCACAAGCATGGGGAGTGGGAGAGGGAGAAGCAGGCTCCCTGCTGAGCAGGGAGCCCGACGTGGGGCTCGATCCCGGGACTGCAGGATCATGACCTGAGCTGAAGGCAGTCGCTTAACCAACTGAGCCACCCAGGCACCCCTGGTTCTGCATTTTTAACCAGCTCCTGGAGGGTGCCAGCGCTCTGAGGGATGGGACTGTACATTTTATGCCCAGGAGCAAAACTGTGGGGTCTCGGGGGTGTATATTTTCAAAGCTCCTAGATAAGGCTGTCACAGAATAGTTCTGGAAGGCCACATGAGAAACGGCAATCAATGTGGCTTTTGAGGAGAGGGATTTGTTGCCTAGGGAGTCAGCATGGAAAGGAGACTCTGCTCTGAACTTCCCTTCTTCCTCTGTGAATTTTATTATTTATTTATTTTTATTTATTTATTTTTTTAAAGATTTTATTTATTTGAGAGAGAGAGAATGAGAGAGAGCACATGAGAGGGGGGAGGGCCAGAAGGAGAAGCAGACTCCCTGCTGAGCAGGGAGCCCAATGCGGGACTCGATCCAGGGACTCCAGGATTATGACCTGAGCCGAAGGCAGTCGCTTAACCAACTGAGCCACCCAGGCGCCCTGTTTATTTTTTTTTAAAGGTTTTACTTATTTATTTGACAAAGACACAGCGAGAGAGGGAACACAAGCAGGGGGAGTGGGAGAGGGAGAAGCAGGCTTCCTGCCGAGCAGGGAGCCCGATGCGGGGCTCGATCCCAGGACCCTGGGATCATGACCTGAGCCGAAGGCAGATGCTTAACGACTGAGCCACCCAGGCGCCCCTCCTGTGAATTTCAGAATGCACAATGTGGATGCCCTACTTACCCTGAGACAAGGGGGAAGGCGGAGGGAAGGAGGTGAAGAGGTAGAGGTCACGTCCTGAAGAGCCTTGAAGGGTTTGGTACTTGATTTTTGGATACTTGAGTGAGGGGTGTCCAGCATTTCAGAACAGAGAAGAAGTGTAGTTGAGAACGCTCACCTCGGGGTGCCTGGGTGGCTCAGTCGTTAAGCGTCTGCCTTCGGCTCAGGTCATGGTCCCAGGGTCCTGGGTTCGAGCCCCACATCTGGCTCCCCTTCTCCCTCTCCTGTTCCCCCTGCTTGTGCGTGCACTCTGTCAATAAATAAACAAAATCTTAAAAAAAAAAAGAATGCTCACCTCAAAGAAGTCAGTGTCCATCAGTGGATGGATAAACACAACGGAGTCTGTCCATGCGACGAACATGATTCTGCATGAACAGGAGCGAAGCACCAGCAGGTGCCACAAGATGGGAGAACCTTGGAAATGTCACGCGACGCAAAAAGAGCCAGACACAAAAGCCCACGTGGCGCGTGATTCTATGTACAGGCGATGTCCAGAATAGACAAACCCATAGGGACATAAAGTAGGTTAGGGGTTGCCAGGGGCTCGGGGCTGGGGGGTTGGGAGGAAGGGGGGAGGCAGCTCGGGGGGTACAGGGTTGTTTTGGGGGGGTGATGAAAATGTTCTAAAATTGATTGTGGTGATGGTCACCCCACGACTCCCTGTAAGTGGTGTGTAAATGGAATTGTCTGGTATGTGAGTTATATCACCATAAAGGTGCTTGCAAGACTACTTGTGGAGATCCCTTCCCAACTTAGGGGAAATGGAGAGAGAAATAGGGTCAGGGCTTCAGAGCCTCCGGCCTGGACTCAGAGTGCGCGTTCTCTCCCCCCCGCCCCCCAGAACTGACATACCCGGGGAATGGCTCGTCTCTTCCAGTCCTTGAAGGGGAATCTCTGCTCCTGGTCTGTGCTGCTGAGAGCAACCCTCTGGCCACACTGAGCTGGGTCCTGGGGGGACAGACTCTGAGCCCCTCCCAGCCCACAGACCCTGGGATCCTGGAGCTCCCTCAGATACAAATGGAGCATGAAGGAGACCTCACCTGCCAAGCTCAGAACCCGCTGGGCTCCCAGCACGTCTCCCTGCATCTCTCTGTGGTCTGTGAGTGTGGGGACCCCTGGGGGCAGGCTGCCCGGGGCCTGGGCAGGAGAGACACCGCTGACCCTTCGCCTCCCTCCCGCAGACCCCCCGCGGCTGCTCAGCCCCTCCTGCTCCTGGGAGGGCGAGGGGCTGCACTGCAGCTGTTCCTCCCGAGCCCAGCCGGCCCCCACCCTGCGCTGGCGGCTGGGGGAGGGGCTGCTGGAGGGGAACCACAGCAACGCCTCCTGGACCATCACCTCCAGCTCGGCGGGGCCCTGGGCCAACAGCTCCCTGAGCCTCAGCGGGCCGCTGGGCTCTGGCCTCAGACTCAGCTGCGAGGCCCGGAACGCCCACGGGAAACAGAGCATGGCTATCCTGGTGCTGCCAGGTCCGGGGGCTGTTGGGGGCCAAGGTGTAGGGGAAGGGAGTCTGGGTCCTAGAAAAGACGGTCTGGGGGTGGGTCCCCTCTCCCGGGCCTGCAGGGGAAGGGGTGAGAGAAAGGAAGGGTGTGGGGGCTGAAGAACTGAGAGCCCGAGTTCCTTGGGAAGAGGGGGCACCAGGGTCCTGGGGCTCGGAGGGAACTCACCCGAAACCCCACTCACCTGCAGGGAAGCCTGAGCTTGGGGGAGGATTCGTTCTGGGGGCTGTCGGGGGTGCTGGTGTTGCCGGCCTGCTCAGTCTCTTTCCCTGCCTCATCTTTTTCATGTGAGTGTTGCCCCTGGGAGAAAGGGTGTGTGGGGGGCAGAAGGGGTCCGAGTCCTGGGATCCCGGGCAGCCCCAGCCGGAGGGGCCTGGGTGGTGCCCAGGCCCTGAGAATTGGGGATCCCAGCCATGCCCATTCTCACGAGTTGACAGGCTCTGTACGTCCCCTCCTGTCAGCCTCTTAAGCGGGGGATGGTAGTGAGTCCGCTGGGCGGCTGACAGGTCCTGGCCTCCCCGTCAGGGTGAAGATCTGCAGGAAGCAAGCACTGGAGCCGGCAGCTCGTGGGAAGGATGTCGCCTGCACGCTGGGTCCCCTCTCCCGGGTGAGTGATGAGTCCTCTGTCCGTCAGGATGCCATCTGGCCACCACCCCGGGATGGCCATGGCCACACCCCTCTAGATGACTTAGATGGTCGTTATGCCCCAGACAGACTTTTGTTCCCAGGCCAGTGACCTGGGAGTCACTCTCCCCTCTGCTCTCTGACATCTTGCAGAGCTAAAGACAATTCACGTCTGTCCATCTTCCTGTGTTCACCTGGACCCTCCTTCGCCTCCTCATCCCTCCCTGGACCCCAGACCCATTTTCTCCTCCTTCCTCTCTCTCCTCCCCGACACAGGATGCTAGATGGATCACCCCAAAATGACAAAGTTCAGGGGCCCCCCAAGACACTCTCAGGTTCAACAGCTCACCGGAAGGACTCACAGAACTCACTGGGATCTGTTATGCTCGTGGTTAGTTTATTACAGGGAAAGGACACAGATTACAGCAGCCAAGGGGAGAGCCACCTGCAAGAACCTTCCAGGTCTCTCTCCCAGTGGAGTCCCATAGACAGTGCTGATTCTTCCCAGCACCGGTGTGTGATAAGAGGCGGGGGGCGGTGGTATTGCCACCAGAGAAGCTCACCCCAGCCTTGTGTCCTGTGTCTATTGGGGGTCGGTCATGTGGGTATGGAGCACCTGTATGTCTGACCTTTGTTACGCGGTCTCCAGCCCCTCTAGAGGTCAAGCTGATACTGTGTGGCCCAAGGCCCCAGGTGAACAGAGACATTCCCATCAGACAGGACCTTCCATTGGCTTAGAGGTCCCCTCTCAGTGCTGGGGCGAAGGGTCAAACCTTTCTTTGGGCATGATGAGCCATTTACTGCACAGTATCTTTTGCTTTTAGGGGTTCATGGTATCATTTTGTGATTGTGTTTGCCTGAGCTTCTGATTCTGAAATGCTGAGTGATCCCTGAGGGCAGTTCAGTTCTGAGCAAATCCCTGTCCTTCTCACACCACCCACCCCATTCCTGAGTGTCCTATCACAATTTGCTATTAGATAGTAATATAATTGACTACTACCATAATGTCAGCTTCCCCCAGTGCGAACTAGCTGGAGGTAATGGATGATGTCTGCTTTGTTCCCCACCGAAGAGCCAGGGCCTGGCACGGGTCAGCTGTTCCAGAAAGTGGCAGACACTGGGGCCAGACAGACCTGGGTGTTAATCTTGGCCCTAGCAACAACTCAGCGTGTGATTTTGGGACATTTACTCAGCCTCAGTTTCTCCGCCAATAAATGGGGATAATCGTGTCTCCCTAATGGCTTGTTGTGAGGAATCTAGGAGCCTGGCAATTGATTACCAAGGGCCAGGCATTATTAGTCTCAAATACTTATTGAATGAATGAATGAATGAATGGGGGCGCAGCCAACGTTTGCAGAATAGATGAAAGACTAAGTGCTCAGTTTCCAGGTCTGCTTGTGGATCCTCTTTGCTATCTGCCAGCTCCCATTACCCTAATTGGACCCCCTTCTTCGCTTCCACTCAGGGTTGCCAGCCTGAGTATCCGTCAGGCACCCCCCCACCCTGCCTGCCCCCAGCCGTGGCCGCTCCCACCTTGGAGGAGGACCAGGAGCTCCATTACGCCTCCCTCACCTTCCACGAGCTGAGGCCCTGGAAGCCTCAGGACCCCGAGGGCCTCAGCACCACCAAGTATTCAGAGATCAAGATCTGCAAGTGATGACCCCAGACTCCAGCGAGCTCCCGCGACCTCTGGGTAGAGAGTCCAGGGCTTCTCAGGAAGGGAGACATCGGGGGACAATTCCTGAGAGAATAGTTTGCCATGGAAATGAGTTACCAACCAGTGAGTGGGCATCCCACTGGTGTGGTGATGGGCAGAACGGGGCTCAAATTTCAGCCCGGCACCAATTACAAGCCCGAGTCCCAGCAAGTCACTTGACTTCTCAGTCTCCCCCTCTGTGAAGTGGACGCAATAAACCTAACTCACTGGGCTGTTGTGGGGCGTCAAGGTGGCAATGAACATGAAGGTCCAACAAGGGTGCAGGTGCAGAGAGCACCTTGCCCGAGCTCACGCCTCTTCCCAGGGCAGCCCACCTGGTGTCAGGGTCTGCTCTGGCCCCTGCCTCTGCAGGGATGGTCTAGCTCCAGAGGCCCCACCCCACCCCACCCCCACCCCCCAGGATCCCTGACCCCCGGGGTGCTTCCTCAGGAACACTCTGAGCCTGCTTCCTGGGAACCCAACTTGTGTATTTTCACCACACAGAAAATCATCCACGGCTTTTCTGAAAGAAACGACAGGTTATCTAAATTATATACCTCTTTCTTTATATGTCCCGGATGTTTTCGTTCTCCTCAACAGGGTCTTCTTTTTGTAGAATTGGCTTATAAAATTCCTTGCAGTTATGGTCTGCGTCCATTAACACTGCAATATCGTGTCAACCTTAAAATAAAAACCGCCAGCTCCTTTACCAGCGAAAATGGATCTATTGGGTGAATAAACGAGAGCTGTGCACCGCAAAGAGCGTTGACGTCCAAACCGTAGGCAAGTCTGAGGGACAAAGCAGAACCACGCATTTATGGAGAAAAGGGGCAAATGGGAAAGGCTGTTATAAACTAAAAGTCCATTGGAGTAAACTGGGAGTTGGAAGTGTTCTGGCTTCTCATTGGTTGAGCTGTTGGGGGCGGGGAAGGGTGGGACTAAGAAAAGCCAGTCTTCCTCCCCCTGATAGTAGAGTAGTAGCCTCGTGGTGCAAGGTCAAGCCCGTGCAAGGTCAAGTCTGTCTCTTCCGGTTGGGTCTGCAATTGGCTATGCGTGGTAGGGCATTAGAGCGCTCCCTGCCGAACCCACCCGCTTCATTTCAGCGCGGGTTTCTTTCTTTTTTTTAAAAATATATTTATTTGCGAGAGAGAATGAGAGACAGAGAGCACGAGAGGGAGGAGGGTCAGAGGGAGAAGCAGACCCCCCGCCGAGCAGGGAGCCCGATGCGGGACTGGATCCAGGGACTCCAGGATCATGACCTGAGCCGAAGGCAGTCGCTTAACCAACTGAGCCACCCAGGCGCCCCAGCGCGGCTTTCCTGTTAATTAATTTTCACTGTAGTTTTTGCAGTGATCACATCCAATTTATTCCCTTTTTCCTTTGAATGTCCGTTTACTTTTTTTTTCTTAGCATCAGGACCCAATATAGTGTCAAGGGGCGCCTGGCTGGGTTAGTTGGTGGAGTGAGTGACTCTTGAACTCGGGTTTGTGGGTTCGAGCCCCACATTGGGTGTACAGATTACTTAAAAATAAAAATCTTTAAACAAAATTTCAGTGTGCCAAATTCCATCTTTTACGGCACAATTCGCTTTGCCCTTCTTCAGGGTTATGCTGCATCTCCTGATCAACATTACTTTTTAAAAGTGGTGTCTACTGACCAAATAGAAGCGTTGTTCTCACTTCTTATTCCCTTCTTCAACACTGTACAGGATCATTCCATTTGTTCCCATGCTGGTATTTAGTGACGTTCATGTAAAAGAATAAAATTCTTCAGGGATTAAAACCGTTTTGGAAAGGTCATCATGGAAAGGCTGCAGTAACTATCCACTTCAAATCAGAAATTCTCTTTCTGTTCTAAGTATAGCCTTGATAGGGGCGCCTTGGTGGCTCAGTCGGTTAAGCGTCTGCCTTCAGCTCAGGTCATGATCTCGGGGTCCTGGGTTGGAGCCCCTCATCGGGCTCTCTGCTGAGCAAGGAGTCTGCTTCTCCCTCTCCTTCTGTGCTCACTCGTGCTCTCTCTCTCAAATAAAAAAATAAAATCTTAAAAAAAAAAAAAGAATAGCCTTGATCCATAAAGAGATAAAATTTTCATCAATTCTTTAACATATTCAAGAAGTTTTTGTTTTGTTTTGTTTTTTAAGATTGACTGACTTTGAGAGAGAGAATGAGCGGGAGGGGCAGAGGGAGAAGGAGAGAATCTTAAGCAGACTCCATACCGAGATCACAACTTGAGCCGAAACCAAGAGTGGGATGCTTAACACAGAGCACTTAACACTGTTTTCTGTTCTTTCAATTTGCAAAATTCTATTGCTAAACAGATACTGGAAATTAAAAGTAAAAAAAATAAAATAGGCTTCCCAACGTGGATTATTTTATTTCAGTTTTTAAAGATTTTATTTTTATTTTTAAAAAAGATTTTATTTTAAAATAATCTCTACATCCAGCAAGAGGCTTGAGCTCACAGCCCCGAGATCAAGAGTCACACGCTCCACCACCTGAGCCAGCCAGGCGTCCCCATGGCTTATTTTAAACGTCAAGAATTTGGGTGGCTTTTCTTCAGAATGAAAATATAATTTCAGCACTTCAAATAAACAAACGGAGGATTTTCTCAACTTTATTTTTTTTTAAGGTTTTTTTATTTTATTTATTTGAGAGAGAGAAAATGAGAGACAGAGAGCATGAGAGGGAGGAGGGTCAGAGGGAGAAGCAGACTCCCCGCTGAGCAGGGAGCCCGATGCGGGACTCGATCCCGGGACTCCAGGATCACGACCTGAGCAGAAGGCAGTCGCTTAACCGACTGAGCCACCCAGGCGCCTCAACTTTATTTGTTAAAGAGTGCCACTGGGGGGTTTTGAATGAGAGAGAATTGAAAAATTCTGCAAATACAAACAAATCGCCACAATCCTTTGATCCCTCAGTTGCAACAGCACAAGGGGTAAGAAAACAGTTGCCCGACACTTCAGTGTCAGTAGAAGAGCCCACGAGGCTGTTTGAGCAGCATTGTGTAGAAAGGCAGGGCAGCCAATGCCTCCCACAGAATCCTGCTTTGAATAAATATTGTCTACATCTCCCACAAACAGCCAGCAAAATTTATATTTGTAGTATCTCCCATCAAAAGCAGTAAAATTCTTCCTGTTTACTGCCAACTCATTGTGAAAAATAGGACAACAGGGCGCCTGGGTGGCTCAGTTGGTTAAGCGACTGCCTTCGGCTCAGGTCATGATCCTGGAGTCCCGGGATCGAGTCCCGCATCGGGCTCCCTGCTCGGCAGGGAGTCTGCTTCTCCCTCTGACCCTCCCCCCTCTCATGTGCTCTCTCTCTCTCTCATTCTCTCTCTCTCAAATAAATAAATAAAATCTTAAAAAAAAAAATAAAAAAATAAAAAAAATAGGACAACAGTCCCAACATGGAGGTGCTTATGCTAAGCCCCATGTCCCCAAATCCGGGCATACAGTTTCGGCTCTCTCAGATGCGAAATCTGAGTCACTCAGGAATCGCCCTGATCGGCACCAGTCAGGTAATTTGCCTGACAGACCCCTGAAGGAAAGCAAACTTGCAACAAGCAACCTGTTTTTTGGCCTCCTACAACTTCCTTGCTCCCGCCCCCTTCGGCCCATAGAAGTCTTTCACTTCGTCCAGCTCCCTGGAACACCTATTTGCTCCATTGGATGCTGCCCAATTCATGAATCATGGACTAGAGCCAATAAGATCTTTAAATTTTGCTTGGTGGAGTTTTGTTTTTTTAACCTCAGTAAGGGAGTCTCCGTGAACATTTGCTATTGTTTCTGGGGTCTCATCTGGAAGGGATTCTACTTGTACAAGTCTTAGAAACAAGCTTTGATCACAAGAAAAGTATTTCAGAAGTCAGGGGAAATGATTTTGTCCTTCCCAGCTGCTTACTGGGGATCCCTCTTGGAGACACACCACATACCTGCATTTACTGAAGGCTCACAGGTGTCCTGTAGTAAAAATTATTTATTTTTTTAAGATTTTTTAAAAAAGATTTTATTTATTTATTTGAGAGAGAGAGAATGAGAGACAGAGAGCATGAGAGGGAGGAGGGTCAGAGGGAGAAGCAGACTCCCTGCTGAGCAGGGAGCCCGATGCGGGACTCGATCCTGGGACTCCAGGATCATGACCTGAGCCGAAGGCAGTCGCTTAACCAACTGAGCCACCCAGGCGCCCTATTTTTTTAAGATTTTATTCATTTATTTGAGAGAGTGAGAGAGAGAAGGAGCAGAGGGAGAGGGAGAATCAGTCTCTCCACTGAGCAGGGAGCCCGATGTGGGGCTTGATCCCAGGACCCCGGGATCATGACCTGAGCCGAAGGCAGATGCTTAACCGACTGAGACACCCAGGCGACCTGTAGTAAAAGTTATTAAAAAACAAACAAACAAAAATCCCGCTCCAAAAAACCCACCACCAGCCCCTGTACCATGAACATCTGATTAACTTTGGGCCAGAGTTCCACGTGGGGGCAGAGGCGAGGTGTAGAGGACAAATGGGGTCCAGCCACCATCCACCGCAGGGTGGCATGTGAGTCATTCCCACTCCCCTGGGCCATGTGATTCTCCTCTAATGCAGATGACAATACCCTCCTCTTGCAGAGGTCGGGGGACAAGATGCCAAGACACGCAAGGTCCAGAACCTGGGCTCTATAGACAGACAAAAGCGGGTTTGGGGGCAGAGGGAAACTGTCTAAACTCTCCCTGCTCTGCCTGGTCGTGCGATTCTCCTGCTGCCTGAGCAACACTGGGTCCCAGCTGACTTTGCTCGCTCAGAGACGAGGGCAGAGGGCAGAAGACAGAGGACAGAGGGGCTGTGGGCAAGTGCACCAAATGGCAGGGGGATGGAAGGGCCAGATGTCGACACCGTGACCATCCTGTGACCTGATATGGGGCCCTGAAGGGCAGCTGACGTCCCTATTCTTGTGGACTTGTGAACAGAGAGGCTCTTTAAGCAGGAGATTTTCAGGTGGGTTTTCTCTCTCATTGAGGAACATCCCCTTCTGGAAAGCGCTGTACACATCTGCTTTCAAGTAGGAAATGATCAGTCTGCTAATCTCCCCTGCGTCCCCTGAGCAGGCAAGAATCGGGGAGAATCAGAGCAGGTTCTTCCCCGACCCGGCCTCTGACCTCCCCCATGCCAAAGTAATGGTGGATGAGGGGCGCCTGGGTGGCTCAGATGGTTAAGTGTCTGCCTTTAGCTCAGGTCATGATCCCAGGGTGCTGGGATCGAGCCCCACATTGGGCTCCCTGCTTGGCGGGGAGCCTGCTTCTCCCTCTCCCTCTACTGTTCCCCCTGCTTGTGCTATCTCGCTCTCTCTTCAAATAAATAAATAAAATCTTTAAAAAAGAAAAAGTACTGGTGGATGATTCCAGATCCTCAAGACCAAATCTGGGAGGTGAGTGTATCCCTCTGTTCTGAATCCCTTCCAGTCTAGTCACTGACCACACGCTGCTGGTTGGGCTTCCTCCAAAATCTGTCCACAGGCCCTCCCTTCCTCTAGCCATGGCCACTGCCCAGGTCTCACACTCCCAGGGAGGGGGTCGGCTGTGCTTGCTTCCTCCACCACTTCTATCCAGGCTCTCTGCAAATGCGCCTCCCCTCCCTGGGACCCTTGGTCTCCATCACAGCACTGTGCCTTCTCTCCAGCGTGTGGAGCACAACCCAAAGTTGTCTCATTTAATGCCTTCTCCTTCCACTTGACTGGAGGCTCCATTAGCTCAAGGACCTCAGTGTATCTTGTTCATTGGGATCCTCCTTGAGCAGGGAGCCCGATGTGGGGCTTGATCCTTGAGTGTCAAGATATGCCTGCTGAATATTTGTTTCATACAAAGAAGGGTAAACGTATGGAAGAGGAAGGGTACATGGATGGGAGAATGAGCAGATGGATGAAAGGATGAAAGGTGGGTGGGAGGGTGGATGATGGAAAAGTATGTGGAAGGATGGATGGGTGGATAAATGGATGGATGGATTGATATACAGATGGCTGATGACTGGATAGATAAATGGATGGCTAAATAAATGGATGGGTGGATGGCTGGAAAAATGATGGGTGGATGAATGGAAGAATGGATGGATGGATAGAAGGATGGGTGGCAAGATGGATGGATGGATGGAAGGATGGATGATGGATGGAAAGATGGGTGGGTGGATGGATGGATGAATAAATGGATGGGTAGATGGCTGGATAAATGGATGGGTAGATGGGTGGTTTGTTGGATGAACGTAAGAATGGATGGGTGGATGGATGGAAGGAAGGAAGGAAGGAAGGAAGGAAGGAAGGAAGGAAGGAAGGAAGGAAGGATGGATATCTGCATGAAACTTTGGATAGGTGGAGGAAAGGTTGAAAGGATGGACAGATGGAGAAAAAAAGAAGGTAAACTTTTCCAAAAGGAACTCCTTTTGCAGACACTCAACTCTCCAACTGCAGTGAAACAATTTATTACCAAAGGTGCCAAGAGTAGCAGGACGGGTCCCCACTGAGGGGGGTGGCTCATCCCCCACCATGAGTTTCAGGGTCTTCTCTGTCTACAACCCCAGTGGCTGGCGGGAGATGATAGCTGAAAGGACGGGACAGTCGAACGGAGGAATTCACATTGTCTGGAGCTTAACTGTGGGTTCCCTGATGCTAAGCAAGACTGATTCAAAGTGTTGCTTAAAGCAGGCATGCACATTCAAGGGATCTTTCTAGAAGCATATCTGTGATACTACGGCAGCCCTTGAGTCACATTTCTTGTTTTGTTTTTTCCATTTCAAACCTCGAGTCAAAAGTTCTGGAAGACAATAAAAATGGCTGTTAGTGTCCTATTCATTCAAGGAGCACCCATGAAACCTCTACTGTGTGACAGGCACTCTCTAGAGACAGGCAATACCACCATAAACAAGAACCTTTGCTGGGCTTACGACTTAGAAGAGGGGGTAGAGACGCTACAAATTGAACACATGCTTCCCACCAGACGGGGATGGGGCTGTGTGGAAAACCAGTAATGTGATGAGAGGGGGTGGGGAGGTGCCTCCCTGGGGCAGTCAGGGAAGGCTCAGGTCTGAGAATCAATAATGAGGAGCCAGTCATTCTAAGATGAAGGGGAAAAAAGGGAAATGGCAAGTGCAAAGGTCCTGAGGTGGGATCAAGCTTGGCCTGGTTTAGAATCTGAGGGGAGGACAGTGTGGCTGGCACAGAGTGGACTGGGAGGTGAGGGGAGGTGGGTAGGTCAGCCTCGCAGGCCAAGGCAAGGAGCTGCCATAAAACTGAGGTGGGATGATCTTCCAGTTACTCCAAGGTCACCAGGCTCTTGGAATAGCACCTCCTCATTAAGTTCCTAACTATGGCACAAACCTGCTACTGAGGGGACTTACTCAGTTTTAGACCAAAACCACCATGATCCTGGAAGGGGCTGTTAGGTTTTTTTAGTTAGTTTTTTTTTTTTTAAGATTTTATTTATTTATTTGTTAGAGGGAGAGAGAGCACAAGCAGGGGGAGGGGCAGAAGGAGAGGGAGAAGCAGACTCCTCGCGGAGCAGGGAGCTCGACACAGGACTCCATCCCAGGACCCTGGGATCATTATCTGAGCCGAAGGCAGACGCTTAACTGACTAATTAGGCCGCCCAGGTGCCCCTAAATAAAATCTTTAAAAATAAAATAAAATTTCCATTGCACCGGGCGGACAGGAAGGTGCTGCAGGACCGGCCAGCACCGACATGAAGCCTGGAGTCTCGGTCGGTAAATATGGGTGGGGTCTCTGTGCGTGTGGCCATCGAGGGGCCGGCGGGATCGCAGACACAAGCCAGACAGAGGAGACCCGCCCTCATGGAGCTCACCACCAGTAGGCGACTATGCCAAGTGACTGTGCCGCGCTCTTGGCCACCCCCAGGGAGATCCTGGGAGAAGGGGGGAGCCAGAGACCTGGGGGAGATGGACCAGGGAGGCTGGCCACTGCCTGGAGGGACAGGATAAGTGGATGAGCGCCGTGGGACAGGGTGGGGGGCAGGTGGTCTCCTGGACAGCTGTCTGCTGAGCTGGAGAGAGGCAGGGGGCAAGCTGTGTGGGTGGAGAGGGCCACGCCTCCACTTTTGGAGAGTCTCTGTGGTGGTGGCCCGCTGTGCATTGTGGGGCACTGAGTGGTGTCCCCAGCCTCCACCCACTCCATGCCAATAGCACCCTTTTCCCAGCCGTGACAACCAAAAGTGTCTCCAGACACCCCCTGGGGGCAACATGGCCTCCCTCCGAGAACCCCTGGCTTAGACAAACACTGAGCTCTGATTCCAGCCAGCCATGAAGACACAAATCACAACTCTGTGGACAGAGGGGGGCCCCGGGGAAGCTTCGCTTCAGAGTCCACGCAGCCTTGCTGGAATTAACTGGCGAGTGAACTTAGTTTATGTAGTTTTGACCTCCCCCAAATTTCTGCACACCCTCCCAGGGGCTAACGGGAGTGCAGACAGGTACACGGCTCGGACAGAGGGGGATCCAGTTCTCTTTCAAAACAAGAACCCCCTCTGCAGACACACACGCACACCCGAGTGAGGCCCGTGCACACAGGTGTTCAAGGCAACGTTGCTTGTAGAACAAGCACCCGGGAAACCAAGCAAATGCCCAGCCGCTGGTTATGAAGAGTAGCCTTCCACCCACCAGGAAATATGGTGCCGCCATAAACAAGGTCGTGGACCTTCTGTGCTGACAGGGAAGAGCTGGGTGTGGCACCGGGCACGACAAGGGGGTGGGGAGTCAACCCAAAGGAAAGCAGAGGCTGCAGATGGACGGATGGATAGAGGGATACAGAAACAGAGGGATGAAGAAAGAGAGAAAGATGGAGAGAGCGATCGCATCTTGATTCTGTTTTCCTGGCCCCGAATCCAGTCATGCCTAAAGCTTTCCCCTTGGAAGTTTCTTGCTACAAGAGCCCATCAATCCCCCTTTTCCTTAAAGCCGATTTGAGTCAGCTTCGAGCTACTTGCCATTCCCGAGGGCTGGAAGGTTCAAGAACCCTGTGGAAAAGTCCAGCATCTAACTGGGAGTTTGGCCCTGGAGTAAATGGTGTCTGGGAAGTAGGGGTGGGGGTATGGGGGGGTGGGGCTCAGACTCACGAACTCCTCCTATCAGAACCCACCTATGGAACCATGTGGACGTCCACGGGGTCGTAGGCTGACACCCACAGATCCCGCAGCGGTGCTTCTAGATTGTTCCTCAGCATGGCGTAGGGCGGCTTCTCGTCATACCCGAGGCTCATCACCACCTTCATGTACTCCTGCAGGGTCTCTGTGGTCAAGACACCCCCCACCATGAGAGAGGCCTGAGAAGGGCCCCCAACCCAGAGCCTGGGGGGCTGTGCCCAGTCTCCACCATGGTGCCCATTTGCTCAGTGCTCCCTCTGTGCCTGGAACTGCCTCAGGCACTTTGATTAAATTTTTATTTTTATTTTTTTAAATTTTTATTATTATTATTTTTTAAGATTTTATTTATTTATTTGACAGAGAGAGACATAGCGAGAGAGGGAACACAAGCAGGGGGAGTGGGAGAGGGAGAAGCAGGCTTCTCGTCGAACAGGGAGCCCGATGTGGGACTCGATCCCGGGACTCCAGGATCATGACCTGAGCCGAAGGCAGACGCTTAACGACTGAGCCACCCAGGCGCCCCCAATTTTTTTTTTAAAACATCAAACATATGTAACAATAGAGTGGCATCACCAGCACCAGTATACCCATTACCCAGTTTCAACAACTACCATCTCACAGCCAATCTCGTTCATCAATACCCCTGTCACTTCCCCCTCTGGCATTGGGGTCAAGCAAATCCCAGCTAATGATATCAGTTTCCCTATAAACAGTTAGTGTGTATTCCTGAAACAGGGGTCAGCAAGCTTTCACTGTAAAGTGCCAGAGGGTGACAGTTTGGGCTTTGTGTGTGTGGGGGGGGGGGGCGGGGTCTGTGTGGCTAGAAGTAGCCACAGATGAACGTAAGCCGGTGGGCACGGCTGTGAGTGAGGCAAGACAGGTCTGTTTATGGACGCTGCAGGCTGATTTTAGACAAGTTTCACGTACCATGAAATGTTCTTTCGATTTTTTCCCTCGGCTACTTATTTTTTTTTTAAGATTTTATTTATTTATTTGAGAGAGCGAGAGTACACACAAGCAGAAGGAGGGGTGCTGGCGCGAGTGGGAGGAGGGGCCGATGGAGAGGGAGAAGCAGACTCCCTGCTGAGTGTGGAGTCCCCCCCAGGGCTGGATCCCAGGACCCCGGGATCATGACCTGAGCCGAAGTCAGATGCTTAACCTCAGCTATTTCAAAACGTAAAGCAAACTAACCAAACAACCCTCCCCCCACTACAAAACAGGCGGTGGCCCCAGAGATACAGTTTAAAAGGGCTACTTTAAAAGAGAGAAATAAAGGTCCTTTTGGGTTTTTTTCCCCTAAATAAATACAATACCATCATCACAGTTTAAAAAGTGCCAATTATGATACTAATAACAATAGTCAATAATAGCTTGCACTTGGGGACTGCCTATCGCAGGCTGGGCTCTCAGCTAGAAAGTACATTTCATTAGGGTTGCAGCAGAAGCCAAGGCAGCGCCCGAGTGCTCAGGGCAACTTGGGAGGTAGGGGCCATTATGGGCCCCATTTTACTCAGTGGGGAGGCTGAGGCTCAGAGGGGCATTTACCCAATGAAAGTCCCCTGGCCGGTAGCGCAGAGCGGGGTGGTGGTGGGGTGCAGAATGTTCTCCTCCCCGCACACCCAATGACCAGCTTGGCTTAGAATGGCTGAGCCTCAGGGAACTAACCCAGGGGCTCATTCCTCATGGCCCAAGAACCCAGGGCTGGAGGGGAAAGTGACTTGAGCAGAGTCATGATCTGAACCCAGGATTTCAGGTAACTAATGAGCCCTTACTGAGCTAGAAGGGACAAACTACCCATTTCTGTCTTTCCGCCTCGTGTTTAGAGAGCAATGTGGAAGTTCTACAGAAGGGACACTAGGGAAAAAAAAAAAAAAACAGTCTAAATCTCCAGTCATGGGGATTGGCTTTAAGAATGATGGTTTTGGGGCGCCTGGGTGGCTCAGTTGGTTAGGTGTCTGCCTTCAGCTCAGGGCATGATCCCGGGGTCCTGGGATCGAGTCCCGCATGGGGCTCCCTGCTCGGCGGGGAGTCTGCTTGTCCTTCTCCCTCTGTCTGCCGCTCCCCCTGCCTATGCTCTCTCTCTCTCTGTGTCCAATAAATAAATAAAATCTTTAAAAAAAATGATGGTTTAGCCAAATCATGGATATTGTGTGGCTATTAAAAAAAAAAAAAAGGTTGCAGTGGATCTAGGAGTAAGAACGCAGAAAAGCCAGTGTCGATTAATGAAAACAAGATGTTGACCAAAATGTATGTAAGGCGAGCCTATTTTCATTTTTAAAAATAGTAGTTTTGCGGGGCGCTCCGTTGGTTAAGCGTCTGCCTTCGGCTCAGGTCATGATCCTGGGATCCTGGGATGGAGTCCCGCATCGGGCTCCCTGCTTGGCAGGGAGTCTGCTTCTCCCTCTCCCTCTGCTGCTCCCTCCTGCTCGTGCCCCCCACCTTCTCTCAAATAAATAAATAAAATCTTAAAAAAAAAAGTTTTGTAAAAACAACGGTTCTGTAAGACAAAGCCAGGTGTGCGCGTATTTATCTGTGTTTGCTTCATACATTAAGGAAGCCCCGGCAGGAGCTTGCAGAGGTGCAGCCCCTCCCATCTCTGCCCTGTGTCCCTTTGCAATGTCTGCTGCTTCTCCCATCACGGGGTGGAGCTACTTGGCCACCTCTGGAGTCTGGGACGGCCTTGTGACTTGTTTGAACGTGGCAGAGTGATGCTCTGGGCCTCTTCTGCTCTGCAGCGTCCCCTCACGTCCTCTTGGACAGCTGCCCTGACAGAGCTTTGAGGAGAAGCCCGGAGCTGAGGCCTCCCAGACCTGCCAGTGACAAGCTAGCTTCAATGGCCAGACAGGAGAGAGGAGCACTGAACAAGCCCGCCCTGGTCCAGCCGCCGAATGGTGGCATCAGTGTGCATTCCCCTGCCTTGTGGCACCAGGAGAAGAATCACCTGGCAGAACCTGGCCCGTATTGCCATCCCAAAGAAATTTTCGTAGAGAAATACAATATTGTGTGTGGCTGTGTGTGTGTGTGTGTTGTTCTTCAGAGACACTTCTGGATTTTGGGGGGAAGATTTTGGTTTTTCTAGAAGGGGCACAGATGCACATGCAATTTGGAGAGGCAACGCCAGGATGGACCCAAGCCACCCGTCCCCACCACAGCCCCCAACTGTTCTGTCCCCCTGCAGGACATACCTGAGGGACAGGTCCAACGACTGCACCGTCCCACGAGGGTCTCCGGGTTGTCAAGAAACCTGACAGGACAGAGGTGCATGCAAGAGGTCTTTTAGGGAAGGGAGAGAAAACTTTTAAAGCAGAATGTCTAGCAGATGTACCAGAGACTCCTGTTACTTGTGGTAGTTATGCCCTGTAGTGGGGCTGCCAACACCCAGTCAGTGAATGCTTTTAGGGGAAACATAGCATCAGGTTCCTGCGGGGTTATGGTTACAATGTTTTCCTTGTGACTTCAACTGATCCCGACTTAACTTTGTCTTATGTGTGTTTGTGTTTAAAGATACCTTGCTTGGGACGCCTGGGTGGCTCAGTTGGTTGGGCGACTGCCTTCGGCTCAGGTCATGATCCTGGAGTCCCGGGATCGAGTCCCGCATCGGGCTCCCTGCTAGGCGGGGAGTCTGCTTCTCCCTCTGACCCTCCCCCCTCTCATGTGCACGCTCTCTCTCTCATTCTCTCTCTCTCAAATAAATAAATAAAATCTTTAAAAAAAAATAAAGATACCTTGCTTAATATATTGTTGATTTATTCACATTGAACTCATAGCCAGCAGCACTATATCTCGTGCCTAAAGGATGCCCACCTAACACACCCATTTTCTCTGTAAGGCACATCCCAGCCTGCTTACACTTTAGGAACACTAGACAGCTCTTCAGCACCATGTGTGGGACCATTTTATTTTTTTTTAATTATTTTTTAAAAGATTTTTATTTATTTATTTAACAGAGATAGAGAGAGAGCACAAGTAGGCAGAGCGGCAGACAGAGGGAGAGGGAGAAGCAGGCTCTCCGCCGAGCAGGGAGCCCGATGTAGGGCTCGATCCCAGGACCCTGGGATCATCACCTGAGCCTAAGGCAGACGCTTAACCGACTGACCCACTCAGGCGCCCTGTGGGACCATTTTAAACAGCGAAATCGCCAACCGCTAATGAAAAGCACAGAAATCTGGCATTAAACGGACCACATAAAGGACCCTTATTTATAGGGTGAGATTCAAAATGAGAAGGCAGAGCATCACCTTTTTTGACCTCGGCTGGGATTGCGTGCATCAGAGAACTCAAAATTTTCTCTACTCTGCGTGTGTCTGAGAATGATCTGGAAAGCACTGTGAGTACCGAATCTGCAGTTACAAATACCTTTCGGTGAACAGGCAAATTCACAAATACGGAACTTGTGAATCATGAGGATTGACTATCTTCCTCTTTATAAACGCACACATGTATTTGTACACACACACACACGCGTGCGCAAAACCTCTTGGACCACTCAAGAAAAAACAGAAATTCATCTACTTCCTTCGTTCCGTCCTCACAGTCCCAGCCCACTGTGTCTTCTCTGGCCTGGACCACCAGCTTGGCTCCCCACTATCCACACAGTGCTTGGGTGCTGTCCGTGTCTCCCCCAGCCACAGCCCAGAAGTCCCTAAGCTCCACCCTCCTGCTCCCTGATCCTCTCTGTCCCATCCCCTCTCTGTCCACTTCAGTCCTCATCCTCTCTCCCTAGACCTCAGCCTCCTCCCCAGCTTCCCGTGCATCCCCCACATGGCGCTAGAGTTTCTATGCCGAGAACTGACTCTGCCCCTTCCTGCTCACAGCCCTCAGGGGACTCCCCAGTGCCCTGGGGGAAAACCCCTAGCATGCAGTGCTGCCAGTTCCTCTGGCCTTGTCTCTCTGATATCCTCCTTTCATCTCATGCTCCGGTCACACCAAACCCTCTCAGGTCCCCTAACTAGGTCCAGCATCCACCCACGTCTCTTGGCCTTGGCACATCACATACTGTTCCCTCTGCCCTGGACAGTCTTCCCCCATCTTGGCCCCCAGCAGGTGGCTCCTCTCTCTTCTGGACACTGCTCAAGGGCTGGTCACCTAGAAGCCTCCCCATAACCCCTCCAGACAGAGAAAGAGATCCTTCCCGGGTGCCTGGGCACTGTGTGCATAGTCCCCGGATGCCCTAAGGCAATTGTCAAAGACACAGGAAGGGCCATGCAGGTCTGACCCTCATCTCTCCCGGCAGCCTCAGGATATGTGTGGCAAATGGCTGAGTGATGGCACCAAAGAGCTGTGCCTCTCGAATGCTTTAAATTGCACGAGTAACTCTACCACTGGCTGTTGGTGTCTGTGGAACCTCCCTGCCAAACCTGCAGCCTTAAGAGCGGGGACCAAATCCCACCAGCACCTGGGCTTTCGCAGAGGGGATTTGCACACCAGAAAGCCTCAGAGAACCAAAATGTCTCTCCTGTTTCTTTTATTCATTCATTCCATTGCAAACTAGAATGTACAAAAAATGAAAAAATGTTGAATGAATGGAAAAAGGCCATGCACACCAGGAGGAAGCCCTAGAGGACAAGTTAGGGTTCCAGAAAATGTGCATGTAGCAACATCGCCCCCTCCTAGTCTTTTGTGTTAGTGCACTCGAGGCTGGGTGCGGTGTCTATAAGGAGCTCATCACCACCATCCCCATCCCCCTGTGGAGCATCTTGATGTTTCTGACCTTCCCTCTGCGGTTGTGATTGGGATCTGGGGCTCAGGGAATGAACTGTTATCTTAAATCATCTATTTTAAAATTATTACTAGGACCTATCTTATTTACTCTGCACTAATTTGGTGAGTGCAGAGCCTCTTAGGAAAGCACATCCCACTCACTGATGATCTCTCTTGAAGTGGAAAGCGGCAAAGATGTGAAAAGGGGGATAGGGCTGTTCTTAGGAATCAGAGGAAGCAGTGGATGGAGGATTCAACCCAGTGAAGCCTCGATGGGTGATTTCACCGATGACAAGTTGTGCCCTCCGCTGATTCACATCTGGGTCTTCAGCATTTCCCAGCACAAGGACTGGCACATAAATGTCCTCGGGAAACAGGCTCTGGATGAATGAGTAGTTCATGTATGTGCTATCCTATCTGCGTAGACATCTTGCCTCCCTTGCCTGTCTGGGAAAGCCCTCTGCTCTGTACACACTGGGTCAGGCATCTCTTGGGTAAAGGCACCCAGTGGCCTGAGGCCAGGTGATCTGCCTCCACTCTGCTCCCACGATGCTCCTGGGGCTGCCTCCACCCTCACAGGCAGCACCTGCTTCCTGCCCAGGCGTGTCCTCCCAGCCTGGGAACTCCCCAAGGCCGGGGCTGCGTCTGCCTGACCCGTGGGTCCACATGGAAGCCTGGGCTGGTGAATGAAGGCTCACGCATGCTTTCCTTGTTCATTCATTCTGCAACTATTTCGTGAGCACCCACCATGTGCCAAGTGCTGTGCTGTGAGCACTACAGTGAGGGGGAGAGCTGATGCAGTCCCTGCCCGCACAGAAATTTGGCTGAAGGTGGCACTGTGGAGGGGTCTCTACCTGCTGTCCACTGTCACTTCTCCCCTTTAAGGGCACAATCCCAAGGGTCAGCAGCCCCAGGCCAGAGATGTTTCCTAGCTCCCACTGCAGCTTGGGGTGGCCATGTGACCAAGAGATGCACGTCATTCCCAGTCCTGCCCTTCCAAAGCAACAAGAGATGGGGGCGGCAAAGCTAGCCCCACAGGAGGATATACGCATGTTGAAGGGGCCAAGGCTCTGTTCCCGAGAGGGAAGTAAACATCTACCTCGTCTGAGCCACCGTGGTTTAGGATCTCCTTGTAAGAGCAGTTCAGCTTTGTCCTTAACACAACAGAAGTGCGGGAAGGAGCTGTTCACAGGCTTCCGGCACATTTAATGCTTTAGCAGTTGGGCCATACGCTCCTACTGCCACAGTTACCAATTCTCTGACTCCTTCTCACCTGGCCTCGTTTCAAAAATGGAGAGCTACTGGAAAACTAGAAAGGAAGTGCAAAAATAAATTCTGAGAAAATAGGGCAATGGGCTCATGTTGTGGTGGGTTCTGAGGCTGGCTTCTGAGGCAGAGGTTGCTTGTGGAAGCCTGGGAGCCCAGGGCCTCTCTCTGTGTGTCTCTTCCTCCTTCTGCAGGTCAAGGGCATATCAGCGCCAAAGTGAGACATCCTCCTTGCCTCACTGCCCTTCTGGAGGCGACTCACCTGTCACCATTGCCGTGAGACGTGCCCCGGCCATTAAATCTAAAGGAGTGGTGCGTGCCCACACCCTGACAGTCCCCCTGGTGGGTACCCAGGGCTCTGGCCCGACGGTCCCAACCAGTCTGGCCTGTGACATGCTCTGTGTTTCACTCGTTGTCTCTTTACTGTCTGTCACCTCCACTAGGATAGGAGTTCCCAGAGGGTATTTGTCTCAGTTATTCCCGTGACCACAGGGACTAGACCATGGTGTGGTGCATAATAAGTGCTCAATAAGTATCTGATGAGTGAAGGAAGGCTGCATCTGAGCGCCATCAATCCATCTGTGATAAGCCTCCCACACGGCTACGAGGTGAAAGAGGCTTCTCTGGAGTCGAATGGCCTGGCTGTGAGTCTAAGCACCTCTCCTTAGTGGTTGTGTGACCTGGGCTGATTCCCTGAGCTCTCTGTGCCTCAGTCATAAGAGCATTTACCTCAGAATTGTTCTGAGGATGACACAGGAAGCACTGGGCACAGTGCCTGGCACAGACAAGTGTATGATAAACGCTGGCCTCGAATAGGTCATTACGAGCAGGCCAGTGTGATGGGGGCAGATCCCTTCTTCTGAGCACCACAGGCAGGAAACCTGACGCCCTCCCTTGGGGAGTGATTGAGCAGAAATCTGAAGGAGGAGGAGATTCAGGGCATGGTACCATTTGTGCCAACCAAATACACACCCAACAGCAACATCACGGATTTTTCAAGATCCAGATACATCCAAACAAACAAATCCAGGAGCAGTATTTGGAGGCAGTGAACTAGCAACTTAGCTAAAATTAGAAAATACAGCACTAAGTGAAAGAAAGCGAGAAACAGAATGAAATTTAGAACTCAGTACTATTTATGCAAATTAAATACACTCATCATAGATTGTTGAAGGTCACAGACACGTCTATACAACTCATTGAAAAGCAGGAATCAGAAGCAGTAAACTCAATGCACGTGTAATGATGTGGCTAAAGTTGAAGAACACGGTGCTGAGTGAAAAATGCCAGAAACAAATGACATTTAGAGCAGAATAGTATTTATGCAGGTCAAACACACATAGTGCCACCACCACCACGCGAGTTAAGGATACAGATACACTTAAGCAAATGTATTAGTAGAACATATGTTAAGTATGTTTGAGTGGGTGTCCATGGTTGAGAGAAGATGGTGGGGGGTTATAAAAGGGAAAAATAGAACGAGAGAGAGGCTCAGCATGAACCAGCGGCACGGCACACAGAGAACTGAGAAGCACGAGGCATGAGGGACTCGATGCCATTCCCTGGAGTTTTCCCTCTTCCCACCAGGCACACTTTCCCTGGATAATCCCATTCTCTCCCAGGGCTTCTGCTGACAACTCCTGAGATAGCAATGAGGTCTGAGTCTCTGTTTAGACTTCATTCCTGCACTTCACACATGGATGGCCAACCATCTCCTAGATGGGCCCTCTGGATGACTCCTGGGCAACTCTCACCCCCGCCCCCGCAGCTGTACCAGATCTTGAGTCCCAACCTCCCGCAGGGCTTCCCTCGTCCCAGCTGTCCACGGTCGTTGGTGCTGAAGACCAAAGTGGCCGTGTGCACTTCCCTCCCAGCCCTGCTGCTTGCTGTCCGTGGTGCTGAATGTCTCTCGGGGACCAGCTACTGTCGCGCTGTCCGTGGTACTGAATGTCTAAACCAGAGCTAGCAGGATCCGGTGGTTTTACAAGCAGAGGGCAGGGACAGGAAGTGTGGACTTGGGTGGTCAGTGTTGCCACATGCTGAAGCAGGGCCCAGGCTTCACTGCTCAGGTTGCCCACTTGTCTGTGAAGGAGTGAATGAGTCATGGTGTCCTCTGCACCATGAGTATTTTCTACAGGTCAGGCTCTGTGCTGAGTGCTATGTACCTGACTCCCCTGAATCCTTCCACAGGCCCTGAGGTAGGTGCTAATAAGATCTCATCCCAGAGAGAACACCGAGGCTTGTGGAGGTTATTAGGCTGCCCACCCAACACACTGCAGTGGTGGGGTCAGAGTCTGACCCCAGGAGCGTGACTCCAGAGCCCACACTTGTCTGCTGGAATGGATGCTACAGGACACACCCAAGTACTGCAGAGGCCTTGGCTCTGCTGGACGCCGCCTCCCCCTCCTTTTTGTTCCCTGCTGGGTTCTGAGCTTCTGCCCCACCTTCGGGGATGCTGGGCCAGTGCTGGGTTCTGCTGACCCCCGGACTCACTTCTGTTTCAGCTTCATGATACCCTCGATGTTGGGAAGGCAGTTTGTCCACGGCAGGATCCCGTAGAGCCACTTCAGCAAACAGTAGCCCAGGGTCTGGAGGTCACTGCGGCGGGAAGGCCCTGGGGAGGGAGGGCAAGAGGTGGCAGCTCAGTCTGAATGCTCCATGCACTGACACCTCTGCTCCTTTTCTGACTCAATGCACTCAACCATCCACGCACACAGGCTCTTGTCTGTTCATTCACTTTTTATTCACCTGCTCTTGTGCTCTCATGAGTCTATCAATTACTCTCGTTCACTCTCTCAGCTGTCCCTACATCACTGCTTTCACTAGCTTACTCCCTTGTCTACTTGTCTTTCATGCACTCATTCATTCAGTGGGTCCTCAGAGCTCTGTGCACCATGCCCCATTCCACATTCTTAAATCCCAGGCAAGAGTTTGGTTGGCTCCTAACCCTTGACAGTCTAATGGAGACAAAGTATGGTGTGGGATTACCTGAGCTACAGAAGAGGCATGAGGGAGCCCAGAAGGATGGACACTGAACGCAGCCTCAAGAGAGGAGGATAACGGAGACTGTAGGATTTTTTTTATGCTTCCTAAACGGCATGATTTAGACAACCATTTGTGTAAGCATATAACAAGCACCAAGAGTTGACTGTGCCAGACCTTCTGCTCCTCGATGCTGGAGGGACAGGCACCACCCCTTTCCTGGGGGAGCTCAGTCTGGTGGGAGGACACGGGTAGACACGTGGATGGCCATGACATCAAGGGATTTGGGAAAGAGGCGCAGCCTCAAGGAATCTTCTCCTTAAGTACTCTCTTCATACCTACTCTGTACACTTTCCTTGGATAATCTCATTCCTCTCCCAGGGCTTCAGCTGACAACAACTGAGACACTGCTGATATGTGGGTCTCCATCCAGGCCTTCTCCTGTGCTCCAGGCATGGACAGCTAGATGCCTCCTTGACAGCCTCTCCTGAATGACTCTTGGGCAACTCTCATGGGTTCCAAGTCTAAACCAGATCTTGAATCTGACCCCGGGACCTGTGGAACCTCCTTGTGTCCAGCTGCTTGCTGTCCTTGGTGCTGAATGGCTGCCCTACAACTCCCTAATGCAGGCTGTCCATGGTTCTGAATCCCTATTCTACCTCGCTTAGCCTGATTCCTGTGTCTGGCTACCTGCTGTCTGTGGTTATGAAAACCTAGAGCTGCCCTTGTATGAGAAGCATGTCTCCATGGTCCTGAATCCCTTCTCTGGACTCTTACCACATCCCTTGTGCAGGTCAAGGCTAATGAACTCAAGATCCCCCTCATGTGGGCTCCTGCTGCCTTCCACATAGGCCACGTGTTTGCCGCCAGGGGCATAGCGGAAGGCGAAGCTGTAGCCTGCCAGCGTCACCTGTGTGGACATGGGGAGAAGCCATATAGTTTGGAGGTTAGGAGCTTGGACTCCAGAGTCAGAGAGTTCAATCATGGGTGCTATCTGAAACAACTGAACGCCAAACAGTACAAAAGGGTGTGAAGTGAAAAGAACCAAACCAACCACCTCCAGCCCCCAACCCACCACTCAGAAGTAACCACTAATAATCATTTCTTATGCCGTGTTTCAATTAACTTTCTTTGAATAACTGGTAAACACACATGGATGTAGAGTGGGCTCTAGTTTTCTTCATTAAAGATTTTTATTTATTTATTTGACAGACAGAGACACAGCGAGAGAGGGAACACAAGCAGGGGGAGTGAGAGAGAGAGAAGCAGGTCTCCCGCGGATGTGGGGCTCAATCCCAGGACCCTGGGATCATGACCTGAGCCAAAGGCAGACGCTTAATGACTGAGCCACCCAGGCGCCCCTCTAGTTTTCCACAAAGGGATGTGAGGCTCAAACTCAAAACCCCAAGATCAAGAGTTGCACACTCTTTTGACTGAGCCAGCCAGGGGCCCCTGAACTTTTTTTTTTTTTTTTAAAGATTTTATTTATTTTGACAGAGAGAGACACAGCAAGAGAGGGAACACAAGCAGGGGGAGTGGGAGAGGGAGAAGCAGGCTTCCCGCGGAGCAGGGAGCCCGATGTGGGGCTCGATCCCAGGACCCTGGGACCATGGCCTGAGCTGAAGGCAGACGCTTAACGACTGAGCCACCCAGGCGCCCCTCTAGTTTTCCACAAAGGGATGTGAGGCTCAAACTCAAAACCCCAAGATCAAGAGTTGCACACTCTTTTGACTGAGCCAGCCAGGGGCCCCTGAACTTTTTTTTTTTTTTTTAAAGATTTTATTTATTTTGACAGAGAGAGACACAGCAAGAGAGGGAACACAAGCAGGGGGAGTGGGAGAGGGAGAAGCAGGCTTCCCGTGGAGCAGGGAGCCCGATGTGGGGCTCGATCCCAGGACCCTGGGACCATGACCTGAGCCGAAGGCAGACGCTTAACGACTGAGCCACCCAGGCGCCCCTCTAGTTTTCCACAAAGGGACGTGAGGCTCAAACTCAAAACCCCAAGATCAAGAGTTGCACACTCTTTTGACTGAGCCAGCCAGGGGCCCCTGAACTTTTTTTTTTTTTAAAGATTTTATTTATTTTGACAGAGAGAGACACAGCAAGAGAGGGAACACAAGCAGGGGGAGTGGGAGAGGGAGAAGCAGGCTTCCCCATGGTGCAGGGAGCCCGATGTGGGGCTCGATCCCAGGACCCTGGGATCATGACCTGAGCTGAAGGCAGACGCTTAACGACTGAGCCACGCAGGCGCCCCAACCCCTGAACTTTAATAGTAGTTCCAGGCATTAACATTTGGAGCCAGACAGATCTGGTTCAGCCATGTCTGAAGCCAATGAGGTTCTGCATTTTCCCACTCAATGGGCCAATAATTTGCAATACCCCCTTAAACATTTTTTTTAAAGCCATGTTAAATTGGGCTTCTATCATTTGCAACTAATAAAGTAATTAGAATTTACTTTAAAACATTATTTAAGGGGCACCTGGGTGGCTCAGTCAGTTAAGCGTCTGCCTTCGGCTCAGGTCATGATCCCAGGGTCCTGGGATCGAGCCCCACATCAGGCTCCCTGCTCAGTGGAGAGTCTGCTTCTCCTACTCCCTCTGCCCCTCACCTGGCTCGTGCTCTCTCTCTCAAATAAAATCTTTATGTATGTATGTATGTATTTATTTATTTATTTTATTATTTATTTATTTATTTAAAGATTTTATTTATTTATTTGAGACAGAGAGAATGAGAGAGACAGAGAGCACATGAGAGGGGGGAGGGTCAGAGGGAGAAGCAGGCTCCCTGCCGAGCAGGGAGCCCGATGTGGGACTAGATCCCGAGACTCCAGGATCATGACCTGAGCCGAAGGCAGTTGCTTAACCAACTGAGCCACCCAGGCGCCCATTTTATTTATTTATTTTAAAAGATTTTATTTATTCATTTGAGACACAGAGATACAGACAGAGAGAGAGAGCATGAGCAGGAGGAGAGGCAGGGGGAGAGGGAGAAGCAGGCTCTCCACTGAGCCAGGAGCCCAATGTGGGGCTTGATCCCAGGACCCTGGGACCATGACCTGAGCCGAAGGCTGACGCTTAACCATCTGAGCCACCCAGGCGCCCTCAAATAAATAAAATCTTTAAAAAAAAAAAGTTATTTAATCAGTACTCTACCAGGAGTGTGTATACTTAAGGTTTTCCCACTTGACTATTATAATCAATGCTGTCAGAAACATTTTGTACATGTATCTTTACACAGTCCTGTGAATATATGGATAGGACACATTCCTAAAAGAGGAACTGGTAGATGAAAAAAAATATGCACTTAAAATTTTGACTGCTATATCCAAATGACCTTCCAGAAAGGTTGGCCAGTTCACACTTCCAACAGCATATAAAAAATTTGTTTCCTTACATCCTTATCAGCAATAGATACCATTCTTTTTTGTCCACCCCTAAAATAGGAAGTTTTAATTTTTCGTTTCTATGATTACCGACATTATTCAGGGAGGCTGAGCATCTTTTCACATATTTAACCTGTGGATTTCTTTTTCTATGAACTGCTTTTCCTAACCTTTGTCCATTTTTCTACTAAGTTGTTTATCTCTTCTTATTTATTCCAAGGAGCCTTTTACATATGATGGATAGCAATCCTTTGTCTGCGGTAAGCATTGTGAGATACATGGATGTTTTGAGGCAGATGAGATCCTGGGCCCAGAGAGTCCCTAGGGTGGAGGGGACTTGGCTATTACCTGGCTCAGGTCCTTTGGATTCACAAAGATGTTCTCAGCTGTCACATTTCCATGGACGTACTCATTCTCATGGAGGAACTCCAGGGCATCCAGCTGGGGGAAGAAAGCAAGCATTTCCATGATGACAAACAGAAAGAGGCTCTGAGGCAAAGCCCAGTGAAGGAACCTCCAAGTTAGGCCTGGGGTCAGGAGGTACTACTTGTGATTGGAGGGGAGAAGGGTGTTTAAACCTTACTAATTCTGAGTGAAGCATTAGGAAGTCCACTCTTGATGACATAGCTAAGCATGTCTTCTAATTAGACTTCTGAAAAATCAGCATTAAAGGTAATACTGGTTTTCCATCTATCTCTTTTACCTATTTCTCACTTGACTGCAAACTCAGGAGGGGAAGATGTCGGTTACTTATTGCCACACTGTACCCCCCAAACCCAAAAAGCAAAACCCAACACCCACATATACTAAAGACCTCATTTCTCCCAAAGAGCAGAAATAATGTTTAGTTAAGCAATTTGTATTTCTTAGCCCTAGCTCTGACTTCTCCACTGAGCTCCAGACTCATACACTGAACTGCCTGGGTTTAGTTATATCCTGAATATATCCCCAGGCCCACCTTGACCCCAAGGCTTACCTATCCACTAGGTTCTACTTGTTCTATAAACTCTCTGTCCGACAGCCCATCTCCTCAGGACCGTCCTCTTATGCCGACCTCACCTGGCCTCCTTATCACACCCTCCAGTCCATCTACATGTGCCCCTAGGGTCTTTCTGTACCCAGAGCTGACCCTGCCTTTCCTCTGCTCCCAATCCTCCCGTGGCTCCCCAGTGCCCTCAGGACAGAGTCCTTAGCTTGGTGTTCTGCGTGATTGGTCACTATTGACCGTTCCATGCCAACCCTACCTTACCCTTTCTCCCCACACATGTCAGCACAGAGACCTTCAGGACACACCTAACAGGTCACTTTCTGGCCACTCCCAGGTCTCCAGCTATTTAAATTGGGTTCTCATATGCTCCGTTATAGCAGAGTGATATTTCTATTCAGAGAACTTTCACAGCTTGTGAAATTGTTTAATATCATCCTCTCCCACTAGACATAAAAACCATTACTCCCGGCCCCTGGGACAGTGTCTGACACCCCAGCAGCGACCTGATAAATATTTAATGAAAGGATGGATGGGGGCACCTGGGTGGCTCAGTCGTTAAGCGTCTGCCTTCGGCTCAGGTCATAATCCCAGGGTCCTGGGATCGAGCCCCACATTGAGCCCTGCATCAGGCTCCCCGCTCAGCGGGAGGCCTGCTTTTCTCTCTCCCACTCCCCCTGCTTGTGTTCCCTCTCTCGCTGTGTCTCTGTCAAATAAATAAATAAAAAATCTTAAAAAAAAAAAAAAGGATGGATGGACAAGAGAATAAATCAATGAACAAATGCCTTATGCTCCCCTCTCCTATACACACCTTTACCTAAGCTGTATCCTTGGCCTGGGATATTCTCCCCGTGTATCTCCACTCCCACTCCACCCAGCACCTTGCTATTTCCCACTCATCGCTTAGAAACAACCTCTACCAGGAAGCCCAATGGAGCCCCTCATTTTGAGGCAGAGGCCCCTTCCTCCAAGTCACACATGGGAATGTTTCTCTCTCAGGCTCTAATGGCCTACTGTGCACCTGTTCCAGTCAAGTGCTAGCCCCCAGTGTCCAGGAGAGGGAGGCATGGGCTGAATGTGTCAATGAACAAGCCGACTGATAATCTAGGACCCAGTGCACCATCCCCTGGACGGGAGCCAGCAGCTTCTAGGTACATACCAGCCGGCAGGCCATCTGGAACACAGACTTTACCGACATTACATGCTTTGGGTTGTCATCCAGGGCCGACTGAAGGCTCCTCCCCAGCATGGGAAACACCAAGAACCTGGAAGATAGGAGCATCCCAGGAGGTGGGAGAGATGACCACGGGAAGGGGCAGAATACAGGCCACCGAGGCTGGACTCTGGCTGGGTGGCTCTAAGGTCCCAGTCACGGGCAAGACCAAGGGTTCCTGATTGTGAGGGGATCAGCCTGGCTCAAAGCCGGGGAGAAGGAAGCCACAGCGTCCCCGGAATATGACACAGAGAGAAAAAATGGGACCAGCGAGGTGGCTGGCAAGTGAAGCGACTCACCTGTACTTGTCCTGGTGAATACCAAAACCGACACAGGTGGGGACGGCCAGTAGGGGGACTGTGTTCAGCTTCTTCCACTTGTTCACTGCGGGAGGCAGGGGAGCGAGAGATCAGAGCACCCTGGTCCCGGGGCCCACGGCCCGTTCTCAGGGCAGAATCAGAGAGTGCCTGAGCCCAGGCCAGACTGTCAGGCTCCTGGTCAGAGATGCCACCTCTGTGGGTGGGTGACAGCGGGGTGGTGACAGGGGGCGCATCACTGACCTCTGACTGTAACCTACATCTGCAAGGACAGGGGGTGAGCCTGGCCGAAGCATATACAAATCTGGCATGCAAGGGACAAGGACAACAGAGTGACCTCTGAATTCACATGTATCATTAGTAAGGTCAGGAAATGTCTCAACGGGTCATGGCATCAATCAGAGGTCTGCCCGACTCCCAGGATCTCAGTTGGATGGTACAGAGCCAGTGGTGTGCTGATAAAAGTTTAATGACTGGCTGTCCAGGGAAAAACAGCGCTGACTGCTCGTGTTTGCCGATTTTTGTGGTGTGAACACTTCCCACCATGGCCCATTTCAGGCCATGGATCTGAGATCACAGATTGTGGAGCTGGGAGAGACACCAGCACGCCATCATATGGTATTTTCGCCAAGCAGATACAATGGATGTGAGCAATGGATGAGGTCTGTGTTCCAGATGGCCTGCTGGCTGCTACGTACCTGGACAAACAATTAGGAAGTGAAGAGTTTTGAGGATCTGAATATTTACTATTGATCTTAACATAATGTATTTGATTGTAAGTTGATGTAGTTAATTTTAAATAATGAGTCTGTTTAGCGACTGCCTTGTGGTCCTGAAAATCGAACGCTTGGCTCTCCAGAGCTGGTAGTCGGCCTCAGCCCGTGCTGTCTGTCTTCTGAGGCCTAAAGCCTGACGGACGACGGGGCACATCTGGGCCTGTAATGTCATCCCCACCTTTCCCACCCCTTCAGGGGGAAGCTAGCTGTTCTGACCAAGCTAGTAGCCCCAACTCTCTCCCCCTTTTCCCATTTCCCTGCAGAATACCTTGCAAAGGCTTGGCGGCCCGCTGGAAGAAGTTCTGCTCGTTGAACAAGCGCCCATCCTTGGCATCCTAGTTGGGAATGGCAGGGGGAGAAGGCTGTCACAGCGGAAGTTCTTAGACAAGGTCGTCACTAGCCACGCATCATCCCAGGTTAATGCCAGCAACCGCCACCATGACCCCCACATCAGAACCAAATTCCCTAGGGTGCTGCATGTGAACACATGATCTCCCACTGCCCAGATTCCTCTTCTTTTATGCTAGGATCCGCAAGTTTTCCTAGGCATGTGGCCTTCAGCTAGAAACTACATTTCCCAGCCTCCCTTGCAGTGAAGAATGACCCTATGACCAACTTCTGCTCTATAGAGATGTAAGCAGATGAGATGTGGGCGGCTTTCGGATTATGCCCTCAAAGGGCTGGGCATGCTCTCCCTTTCCTCTTCTGTTCCAGTTGGCTGGAATGCAGAGGAGATGGCAGGAGCTGGGGCAGCCACCTCAGCCCATGAAATGGAGGTTATATACAAGTGGTACAGCTGGTTTCTTAAGAGGACAGGGTTAAAGAGAGCTAGGTTCAAATCTCAGCTTGCCATTCACTCCTTCTTTGTACAAAGCACCTATTATGTGCTGAGTATTCTACTGGCATTGGAGATACAGCAGTGAACAAAGCAACTTGCATGCTGCGTGTCCCTGGGCACGTGATCAAGTCCCCATTTCCTCATATGTTAAATGGGGGGAGTTAAAAGTAACTACCTCCCAGACTTGCTTGTGAGACTCAGCCCAGGGCTGGGCACAGAACAGGCTCTCTCTCTCTCTTTTAATTTTTTAAAATTTTATTATTCTTATGATTATTTTTTCAGAACAGGCTCTCAATAAGCAGGTGCCATTACTCATCTGCAAGCCTGGCTCCAGAGCCCACTCACGCAGCCCCCCGTCTAGGGCCATGGTGGTGGGGCACCAGGACTGGCTGCCCCGGTGTTTTGGGGGGGAGGGGTGAGAAAATCTGAATAAATGAAGGGAAGAAAATAAGTCACCCGTAAGTCCAGCTCTTAGGGATAATGATAAGGCTACTAACCAGGACGATATACACTCTTATTAGACTCTTCCTCTATGATGAGGGATGCGACTCGCCCGCCTGGCTGCTCTCTTTCTTGGTTGGTTGATTTTCCCTTTGGGCCCCCCTCGAGTGCATGTTTCCTGTGTGCTAAGGTTGTGCATGATTTCACAGACTCCTCAAGTGCGGGGACCCCATCTGATTGCTTGTCTGATGGGCCCCATCACCCAGCACAGTGATATATAGTAGATGACCAAGAAATACACACTATGAGACAGATAGGCAAGTGGGGCACACAATGTGGATATTGGGGCTCCCTCGCCCAGATGAGGAAACTCGGCCCCAGGAGGGGAGAAGGCACTTGACCAGACTGCATAGGCAGACAGCACCAGAACCAGGGCGCGGGGTGGACCTCGTGGCAGCTTCCGAGGCCCTCAGTGATAAAGAACCTGAGGCTGGAGGGAGATGTGCCGGGCCCAAGATCCCACTGCCCCCCCGCAGGCCAAGGCAGGGCTCTGCAGCCTGTGCCAGCCCTCAGAGAGGCCCGGAAGTTGAAGGTGCCCAAGCCGCAGGCCCTCCCCCTTGGCACCGCCCCGGGGGATACTCACGAGTTTAAGCGAGAATGTCTGTTTCTGACTTGACTTGCAGGCGAAGGTGGAGATAGCCTCAGCTGTGGGTGGACAAAACGAGCCAAGTTATTATCTACAGGGAAGACAAGAGTCATGGTCCTCAAACTTCCGGGTAACGAGTGGCACTTCTGTTTCTCTGGTTCCCTCGGGGTCAAGTGTATTCTTGGCTTTCAAGACCCCTTCCTTCCTATTTTCTTTTCTCTTTTTTTTTAAAGATTTTATTTATTTATTTGACAGAGATAAAAGGAGAGCACAAGTAGGCAGAGCGGCAGGCAGAGGGAGAAGCAGGCTTCTCCCGGCTTGATCCCAGGACCCCAGGATCATGACCTGAGCTGAAGGCAGCCGCTTAACCGACTGAGCCACCCGGGCGCCCCCCTTCCTATTTTCAAACAGGTTCTTGTTTTTTTTCTTTGTTGATATTCAGCTACATAAAAAAGGTTATTGACAAGAAGGCCCGACTGCTCTCCTTGGAAAGACTTGCTTACAAGGGTGGCCCTTGGCTGGGTCTGAGAAGGGATCCAGCATTCTCTAACAATAAGAGGGGCCCCCTGTGCCCAAACTATCATGCTGAACAGCTGCTTTCCTTCTGGGAGTCTAGAATTTTGGTACGTTCTAGGCAGGGTGCGCCTATGTGACCAGCTCTCAGTAAAAACCCTGGGTGCTGAGTCTCTCAGGAGTATCTCTGGTAGACATACTACACGTGCTGTCACACCTTCTTGCGCAGCCTGTGTGACTCCACGGGGAGAGGACTCCTGGAAGCTGGTGCTGGTCTCCCCCAGACTTCATGTGTCCTTCCCCCCATTGCCTGTGCTGTGTCCTTTTGCTGCAATGAATCGTGGCATGAGAACAGCTACGTGCTGAGGCTTGTGGATGGGTCCTCTCTGTGAATAACTGAGCCTGGGGGGTGGTCCTGGGGGCCCCCAACACACCAGCTTTTTGCATTTGTCTACACATATGGGGAAGTACAGATGCAGATCCCGTGCGAGGAAGGGCTTGTTGCCCCAGCCCCGCCCACCCGGGGAGCGCCATCACAAGTAGCCTTCAGTCCCTCAGCGGTCCACTCAGCTGCAATCCCGGGGTGGCCCATATCCAACAGGTTTTCAAGGGGGATATAAAGGCCCAGCTGTGTTGGCCAGACACAGAACCATGCTGAAGGACCACTCCCGCTCCAGAGTCCCCGTGGGGCCGGCTGAGGCTATAGGGCTGGGCTGCACCCACCATCCACCTCCTTCTTCCCCTCTGCCTCATAAACACTCTGCACGTTCGTCCCATTCTGTTCAGTTACCAACCCCATGCTAAGTGTGGGCTTTACACAGATGGTTTCCCTTTAAGGTCTACTACGATGTTATTATTACTGCGCTCGCTGTCGTCAACGCCACCTGCTGGAGTAGATGAGAGAGGCGGGTCAGAGAAGCCAAGGGACACACTGGGCCACCAACTCTCTGTGTGACTTCGCACGAGGTGCTAGACCTCTCTGGGCCTCTACTGCCACGTCTGTGAAATAGGAGTGATGAAGCCTGCCCCCGGGGTTGGACGCAAGGGTGCAGACGGGCCAGCAGGAACGATCACGGTAGGGGCTGAGTGTGCATCATAGCTAGCTTCCTCCTTCAAACGCACCACTCGATGAACCCACCGGCCCCAGAGCCGAGCACAAGCCTGGCTCACAGGAACCCACCGGCCCCAGAGCCGAGCACCAAGCCTGGCTCAATGTGTGGCAGCTCTCTAAATATCGTAAGTAGCACAAGGGCCCACCGCCACTGAGTGGCAGAGCCGGCTCCGCCTCGCTCATCCAGAGCCCATGAGCTGAAACACTATAGTCCATCCCCGCGGCTCTCTGAGTCCTCACTCCTTTCTCTCGTCTTTCCTACTCCTTAATCATCCAGGTTGGTGTGGTCTAGGATGCTGAGCTGACGGACAGGGAGGTGAGAGTTACCCATTGTTGCTCTCAAGAAGCACTGGTTGGAGCAGGGTCGGAGCCCAGGGTTTACAAATTCAGGGCCAAGGGTGACCTGAGTCCAGTCTATAAGAGGGAAATGTGTCAAGGGCTCAGATCTCAGGGTACCGAGGGGTGCTTTCCAGCTACAAGAAGTGGGCTTGGAGAGATCGTCAGCAGGTGTCTGGAGCTCACTGTGGCACCTCTCACGAATACTAACCCTGCTCAGAGTTCCCGCACGGGTGGGTGACAGGTACACGCCTGACGCTCAGAAGCAAGCAGGAAGAGCTGGTAACTTAAATACGATCCCCTGCACTACTCTGCAGATCATGAAGGGCTTTTCTCTTCTGCTTCTCTAACTGGCCCTCCTGCCAATAGCCCGGGGTGCTAGCTGGGCCATTCCCATTATAGAGGGGAGCCAACAGAGGCCCAGGAGGGGCAGTGCGCTTGGCCAATGGCTCCTGTAGGGCCTGGCTTTCAACCCAGAGCTCCAGACTCTGTGACCTAGGGAGACCCCTGTCTCATGCACATCTGATACATGGAAAGTCCCTACGTGCTCCCAATGCTGACAAGGGCATAGCAGGCGAGCAGGGGGACACCCCCAACTGCCAGAAGATGAGCGATGTTGAACCTGGAGCGAGAAAGCTGCTCTGGGATCCATCATGACCAGAACAGCGACAGGAAGCACTTGTACCGTGCTTGCTGCTTTCCTGTGCATTGGTCCACCCATGTGGCTTTCCCAACAACGACCCTGCGAGGTCAGTACTATTTTTTTTTTTAAGATTTTATTTATTTATTCATGAGAGACAGAGAGAGAGAGAGAAGCAGAAGGAGAAGCAGGCTCCCAAGGAGCAGGGAGCCCGATGCGGGGCTCGATCCCAGGACCCTGGGATCATGACCTGAGCCGAAGGCAGACGCTTAACCGACTGAGCCACCCAGGCGCCCATGAGGTCAGTACTATTATCATCCCATTCTGCAGGTGAGGAAACTGAGGCATAAGGTCATGACATCACTTGAACCTGAACGAGGTCAGACAACTAGCTGCCAGCAGAGGCAGGGGACAGCTCACAAGGTCCGGCTACACTCTCCCACCTCCCTTCGAGGGGAGGGCTTGCTGGAGACTCTGGGCACCCCACACCCCCTCTCACTGCCAGCAACGCTAGGGTCTTGATGCTTCCTGTTCCTGTTCCTGGGTTTCTAGCCTCTGAGTTTTTGCCTATGCCCCGCCTTAGTCTAGCATGCCCATCTCTGCCCTAACTTCTTTGTCCCAGTTTGGAAGGTGCTTAATAAAATTGTAGTGCTGGGGAGCCTGGACGGCTCAGTTGGTGGAGTGTCTGATTCTTGGTTTCGGCTCAGGTCGTGATCTCACGGTCGGGGAGTCAAGCCCTGCTCTGGGCTCCACGCTCAGTGGGGATCTGCTTGACATTCCCTCTCTCCCTCTCCCGCTGCTCCTCCCCCACTCGTGTGCACTCTCTCTCAAATAAATAAATCTTTAAAAAAATAAAATCAAATCACAGCGCTTCCACCTGACGGTTAGCAACTGATGGAGTCTCCCCATAGCTGGAGGCATGTTTGGGATGGCCTGACTCAGTGGGTCTCAGTCACTCTCAGTGGGCATCCGACAGTGCCTGGAGATAGTTTCAGTTGTCACAATAGGGGGAGGGGAGGGGTGTTACTGGTGTCTAGTGGTTTTTCTAGTGGTTTCTAGCGGTTCTCCCAAACTGTTCTGGGGAGATAGGGAGGATGACATCATAACTCAGGAGCTGACAAGGAAAAGAGTGCCAACTCACAGGGCTGCATGAGTAAGGGAGTAAGATGAGCTGATTGGTGGGATGAACTGAGGACGGGGCACAGAGTGGGTCAACAGTGTCAGCGGCTGTGAAAAAAAAAAAATCCCAATTCTGGCTGCTGTTGTTGTTTAACTGTTACTGTTTTTTGTGTTTTGTTTTTTTTTTTTAAAGATTCTATTTATTTGACAGAGAGAGAGATAGCGAGAGCAGGAACACAAGCAGGGGGAGTGGGAGAGGGAGAAGCAGGCCTCCCGCAGAGCAGGGAGCCCGATGTGGGACTTGATCCCGGGACCCCAGGATCATGACCTGAGCCGAAGGCAGACGCCCAGCAACTGAGCCACCCAGGTGCCCTAACTGTTACTGGTTTTAACTACAGGACATAAAACTGCACCACTTGACTGGTGCAAGCTGGCAGAGGAGAAAGGCGATGTGCCCGGGGGCGACTCGGCCCTGGGACACATGCAAACGCGCTCCGCAGCCCTTACGAACCCTACTCCCCACCCCAACAGTGGCCCATGCCCATCTGGCACTTCCAAATCAAAGATTTCTGAGCAAAATCCAGATTTCTGGCCTTTCCTGCAAACTCAGAAGATCTCGGAGCCAGATCTCCGGCTGCTTATTGACATCTCCGGGACTCGTGTCCCTCCTCTAGGCCACGGGGACAGTGACAGTGCTGGTGTCCACCGTGAGTTAGGAAGTACGAAGACAACACTCACGGCAGCACTAGTCTTCACGGCCCAAAGCGGGAACAATCCACACGTCCGCCAACCAACCGGTAAATGGGGAAACCGAACACGATACACATACACCGAGTATTGTTCAGCCACAAGGCGGAATGAAGTTCCGACAGACGCTATGATGTGGATGGGCCTTGAAAACATCATGCTGGGGGAAAGAAGACAGATGCAAGATCTGAAACGTCCACAACAGAGAAACCCAGAGAGATAGAGAACAGTTAGCGGATGCCCGAGGCTGGGACGAGAGGGACGGGGAGCGAGTGCTTCGGTACAGGGCTTCCTTTCGGGGTGATGGGAATGTTCTGGAACGAGATTCGAGTGATGGCTGCACAGCACCATGAATGGACTATATCCCACTGAACTGCAGATTTTAAAATCGTCAATTTCATGTTATGTGGCTTTTATCTTAATTAAAAAAACGACAAAACCTCCCACAAAGCACTTAGAGCACAGTGTGGCCTTGAATAAGCACTTGATAAACATTGGGTTGGTTAATACTAATACTTCCAGCACAGCTCTTTTTTTCTTCATTGTAACAAGGTGTCTGACTCGTTTTTTAATGTTTGAGGACACCAGCCTCTAAACCAGGTCCTGCCTCTTCCTCTCCGGCCCCACATCTGGGCAGGCTGATAAGCAAGCCTGGCGGGGGGGGCTCCCTCCTTGGCTGCTGGTGGGAGATGCAAATCATGGGAGGCCCTGCCCCCAGAGCAGGAACCCTCACTCTGGCCCCACCCCTTAAACAAATAAAAACCCAAACCAGGCGCCTTTCCTTCCTCTCCTCAGGGGGGTGAAGAACTGCTTTCCCCCAGAAACCTCAATTATGCAAGCAGTTAGTCACACGTATCTTCCATCACCACTCTCAACATTCAAACCAAATTTTAGGGGGAGGGGGTTCCATGCCGCCTCTGCAGGACAGACAGAACACTCATCATCATCCTTTTCATTCAGCCACCCTGGGCCTGCACTCCCCCACGACGAAGGTGGAGGTGGGGAGTGCCTCTTTACACAGGGCACAGGCTTTCCAGTTGGCCACAGTCCCCACCATTCCCAATTGTTCGTTCTCGGACTCCTGCACACATTTACCCTACCTGCCCAGCCCCTGTGGGTGGGTAGCTCTGCAGTCCCAAGTCTACAAGAAAGCTGTCCAGAGGCAGGTCTGCAGCTGGGAGATGGCTTCCATTTCCATTCTCAAAAAGGTGTTCCCCTCCCCTTGCCCTGGCTCAAAGACACCCCGGCCGAGCCCAGTGCCTGCCGGCCTGCGGACAGTGTACCTTTATAGAGAATGCCCTGGTCGTCCCTGGTCTGGAGGGGTCCCAGCTTCCAGTGCCGCCCATTCTTGTCTGTCACCACCGTCCCTGTGGGCAGAGCCTCAAGTGAGGTAGTCACCCGGCTCCGCTTCAGTGTCTGCGGGCTTTGCTTGGTCGCCTGTGGGCTTCGCTTGGTCGCCTGCGGGCTTCTCTTGGTCGCCTGTGGGCTTCGCTTGGTCGCCTGCGGGCTTCGCTTGGTCGCCTGTGGGCTGCTTTTGGGGGTTGGGGGTCTGCTCCAGGACCCTGCAGGAGGATGGTCAGAATAAAGAAAAAGCAGCATCCAGGAGAGAAAAGTTGGATGGGTAATAGGACAATGCTTGTCATACAGTTCATTTATTCATTTGCTCATGCAACACATGCTTCCTGGGACCTTTCATGAGTCAGGTCCTTGTGTGATAAAGCTGGAGATCCAGACATGACTCAGACTTGGGCCCTTCCCTTGGGAGCCCCTAATTTGGTCGGGGAGTCTGACCTGGACACAGCTGGTCAGAACTGAGTCTGAAACAGGGCAGTAAAGAGGAATATGAGAGACTGATAATGCCTTGAGAAGTCAAGAGAGGCTTCTGGGAGGAGGGGACATTTGAGTTGGATCTTGTTGGATGAGCAGAAGTTTACCAAGGGGAAAAAAGACATTCCAGACACTCAACCAAAGACATCCTGAAACAGGACCTGGCCTTGTGCTGAGTATAAAGAAGGTTCGGAAATTTGTTAGACAGAGACCCTGCCCTTGAGGGGCTCCCAGGCTGGCAAGAGAATGGGATGGCATGGTGAGGAGAGAGGTGTGGACACAAGAAAGGATATTATCTACTCCATTCCTCCCCCCACCATCCACCCAAGGCACAGAACAGCAACAGGCAGAGGGGTCTGGAGCATAACAAGGGATGGAGGGGAGGCACCGAGGGCTGTGACTTTAGATCCAAGGGCCCCCTACAAAGGAGATGGGCACATGGTCCTCAAGACTCCCATGCTTGCTGGCTGGCACCAGGCCTATGCAGATGAGTCTACCTGGTCTCCGCCCATGCAGGACTTTCAGTCCATCAAGTGAGGCAGAAAGGATGAGGGTCCAGGCGGGGTAGGGGATCCCTGAGCAGGGGAACAAAGCCCCAAACTGTCCAACAACCCACCTTTTCCCCATTGAGTCAGGCCAGATTGACCCCAACTCTCACCTTTGGATCTCACAGTACCTTTAGACCCAGAACTGTCACCAACCAAGCAGCAGGATGATGAGGGGGAGGTGACAGAGCTGGACCATTTCACTCTCTTGGAAGGGATTTCAGGACTGGCACTGCTCTGTCTCCTTGAGCCTAGAGGAAGGGAGATCGGATGCAGACTGGGATTACAAAGGCCTTTTCCAGGAACCTCTAAACCAAGAACCCTGAGGGCACATTTGACCACTCTCTTCCCTCTGACCCTAGAGTCAAGCCTTGCTTCTCCTGTCACCTAAATATCTAAGCAAACTGTCCCTTCATTTTAGTTATGTTTTTTTCCTCCTTGGGTCTTGGTGTCTCGTGTGTCTTTTATCGCTTTGTCATTCTGCTCTCTACTAGGCAATTTCTTCGAACCTATCTTCCACTTCACTAATTCTCCCTTCAGCTGTGTCTGGTTGGCAGTTAAACCATCCAGTGAGTTTCTGGTTGCCACAATGATGTTTGTTTTTATCATTGGAGGTTTGATTTGGTTCTTTTTCAAATTGATTTGGTTCCTTTTCAATTCTAACTTCTGCTTCTTCACTGTATTTTGAATTTCTTCTTTTATTTCTTTAAACATGTTAAATGTGTTTTGGATGTATTCTCATCTGTTAATTCTGAGGTCTCTGGTCATTGTGGGTGTGATTCTATAGTTTGTTGTTTGTCCTGACACTGGCCTTTTCCTGGTGTCTTTTTTTTTTTTTTTAAGATTTTATTTATTCATTTGAGAGAGACAGTGAGCAAGCAAGAGAGCACAAGTGGCAGAGGGAGAGGGAGGGGCAGACTCCCTGCTGAGCAGAGAGCCTGATGTGGGGCTCAATCGCAGGACCCTGGGATCATGACCTGAACTGAAGGCAGACGCCCAACCGACTAAGCCATCCAGGTGTCCTTCCTGGTGCCTTTTGATTGACTGGGAGCTCCTGGTCCTAAGAGAATTCTCTAAGGCAGAGGCAGAGGGAGAGAACCTCAAGCAGACTCTTTGCTGAGCATGGAGCCTGACTTGGGACTCCATCTCACGACCCTGAGATCATGACCTGAGCTGAAATCAAGAGTCGGGTGCTTAACTGACTGAGCCACCCAGGCACCCCCTAAGGCCTGTCTTTAAAGGGTATTCCCCAAGAGAAGGTTTGCCTCTGTTGGAGAGGGGCACCCATACCTCATTGCTTTTACACTAACTTTCCCGCTTGGGTTTTTCTGGGGGCTACACATATCAGTACAAATTCTGGCCCCAAACTGGTGAGGATGTGAGTTCTTGGTTAGGAATTCTCAGAAAGGACATTCTTTTTTTTTTTTTTTTTTTAAAGATTTTATTTATTTATTTGAGAGAGAGAATGAGAGAGAGCACATGAGAGGGGGGAGGGTCAGAGGGAGAAGCAGACTCCCCGCTGAGCAGGGAGCCCGATGCGGGACTCGATCCAGGGACTCCGGATCATGACCTGAGCCGAAGGCAGTCGCTTAACCAACTGAGCCACCCAGGCGCCCCTCAGAAAGGACATTCTTCCATCTTTCACTCACAACCAAGGCTGAGACAGACAAATGTCTTCACCAACTTTCTCTGTGGAACTTTTGTGGTTGTTGTTGTTCCAGTTTACCCACTGAGGAGTCCCGGATTTTAAGTTTTCCAATCTCACCTCTTGCACTGTTCAGGCCATAAGTTTTGTCTCTTATACTCCATTAAAACCCAGGCTCGAAACCACCAGTGCCTGGCAAACAGTCCAGGACCACCACCATCCACAGCACGCACTCAGCCCCGTGGGTCTGTGTTTTCTTACTGTTTCTCGTTTCTGCGGAATTCACTCACTGAGTGATAGGACCCACTCAGCCCTGCTTTTCAAAACAGAGACTTTATATTTTCCAGCATTTTGTGGTGTGCTGAACCTTAAGGGGCTTTTGCCGATCATTTAGTCTGCCGTATTACTAAAAACAGAAGTCTTCTTTCAGTTGCTGCTAACTTAACTAGCATGGCTGGTTCCTGGACTGCTGGAATGAATGGCTTCCTTTTTTTTTTTTTTAGAGAGAGCGAGCATGCGAGTGCAAGGTGGGGGGAAGGGCAGAGGGAGAGAGAGAATCTTAAGCAGGCTCTGCAACGAGTATGGAGCCCAACACGGGGCTCCATCTCACAACCCTGCCATCATGACCTGAGCCAAAATCAAGAGTGAGACACTTAACTGACTGAAGCACCCAGGCGCCCCCACTTCCCATGTTCCAGAGAGGTCTTTTCAAAATACAATCATATTGTATCTCTCACTTGGTAGAAACCCTCCACCGACTACATCAGTGATTATTAACCTTACCCATGGTCTACATAGCCCTGCCTGTCTACCCCCAGTCAAGATGTCTGTCTGTATTTTTCCAACATACATGACTCCTCCCACCACATGGCCTTTCCCTTTACCATGCCCCAATGCCTGGAACTCTTGTGACTCCTTCACCTCGACCCCATTCTTCACTTACCTAACTTTTATCATCCCTTGGTCTTGGCTTAAATATTACCCACTGAGGGAGGCCTTCCTTGATCCCCCCAGAAACAAAGCTCCCTTATGTGGGTTCCATGGTCCATCCATTTCCCTTCTGTTATCATATGCTCTCCTGGTAGTTGCTTATTCAATGTCTGTTTGCCCTACTGGCTTCCAAAAGCTCTGAGAAACCAGACACTGGGCACGTGTCATGTGTGTTACTACCTCCCTGGGACAGACAGCACCTAAGTACACAGTAGGCGGTCCATGTATATTTGTTGCCTGATGACTGGGTGAATGAATAATGAACTGAGTCCTAGGTTAGCATTAAAGAAGGCTGTGGTTAAAACTCAGGCTCTGGGGGCACCACTGGTTAAGTGTCCGACTCTTGGCTTCGGGTCAGGTCATGATCTCAGGGTTGTGAAATCGAGTCCTGAGTCAGGCTTTGTGCTCAGCAGAGTCTGCTTGAGATTCTCTCCCCCTGCTCATGCTTGTGCGAGCTCTCTCTCTCCCTCTCTGAAATAAATAAATAAATCTTAAAAAAAAAACCCTCAGGCTCTGAACTCAGTGAAGGTAAATACTGTTTGCAGCTGTCTGGAATGCAGATAAAATATTGGAGATGAAAAGCTATCTTGAAAACTCAAGGCAATAAGCATGGGGGGGGGGAACCCATCTCCTCAGGATGGCTGAGTAGAAAGACAGGAGGAACCTGGGTCCCTTGTGGCATCACAGGGACACCATTCCTCCACTGGACTGGTCCCTGCAGACTTTTTTAGTATGAAAAAAATAAACCCATTCTTTTTTTTTTAAACTCTTGAGGAAGCATTTTTCTGTTACTTGCAGCCAAATGCAATCTCAAATGATAAAATGTCATGTACGCCAACTTCCTTCTGTGGCCTTCAGACAAGTAAACTCACTTTGATTTTTCAATGCAGGACCTGTGGTTGGGCTTCCCATTGGCCAGGACCTACAGCTGATATTTCATTCATTCAGTCCAGTGAGATTTCTCAGCACCCAACTCTGCCAGGTCTTGGATGCCAAGCAAGACAGCAGTGAGAGGTGAAGGATTGGGCATCGATTTTGAAGGGAGAGCGGACAAGATTTGCCAGAGGGCTGAAGTTGTGGGGTGGAAGAGAAAGAGGACTGAAGGATAATGACTGCAGGGTCTGGTCTAAGAAACTGGATTACCACTCCACGACTCATAGTCTACAGAAGAGACAGATAGGCAGGCGGCACTCACATCAGGAGCTCAGCTCTGGGCATGTGTGGAGATGCGTATGGGACACACAACAGGTGTTGCAGGCAATCTGATATGCACATATGAACCTGGATTTCAGGGGAGGAGTCCAGGCTGGAGACAGAAACGTGTGAGTTGTCAACTTGAAAGCCACGAGGCCAATCAGATGCCAAGAAACTGAGTGTAGACAGAGCCTGAGTCCTGGGCAGCTCCGGGATCAATGCAGGGTCAGACAGCCTGCAAAGGCGACTGTCCTCCCTCCCCAAATGCACGCGCACACACACACGCACTCATCATCCCTCAGAGGCCTGGTTCTTACCTTGGCAGGATGACGTAATCGGTCTGACAAGGGTCTGGGGGCTTTCATGCTCAAAACATGGCTCAGACAAAGGTTTTCCGCAGTAGGGGCAGAATCTGAATGCTGCTTCCATACTTTTGCCACAGTCTGGACAGAAGGTGATCATGCTAGGAAACAATGGGTGGAGGGAGGGAACAGGAAGCTGAAAGCGAAACTGAATGCACCACCAGTGAGTCATCTGAGCTCCCCGAAGTGACGAGATTGCAAGAGGGAGGTAAGTTATCCCATTGGAACAGACTCTCTTAGGAAGTGGCCACTTCGGAAATGAGTTCCTGCCCACCGCATCCGGCCTCTAGCCACGCATCTCTCCTTCGTGGCCCAGGGCGGGTAAAAAGCAGAAAAATGCAACGTGAAATTGCAGGTTTCACAGGAGACACGGGAATGCCTCGGAGTCCACGGAAGTCGTGCAGGAGATTTGCTCCAGTCACGGGAGCACGGAGGGTCTCCCGCCATTATCCGTGATGTTCATTTTTTGACACACACGATAGGGATCGGAGAGACAGCGAACGTTCGCCAATCAGCCACATGCTCCCCTACACTTCCCGGGCTCCCCCTGCCCCCACCCTGCAGTTAGATTGGGGCCACATGACTAGTTCTGGCCAATGGCGTGTGAGTGGAAGTCACTTCCAGCTGAGGCAGTTAAGAGCTGGACGGCCTCCTCCGTCCGCCTGTCCACAGCATGGAGGCCTCTGGGAGCCACATGCTCCGGGTGGCATAGCTGCAAGATGGAAGAGGGTGGCCTGGTCCACACTGGAATCTCATGATCAGCAAATGGAACTTATGTTGCATGAAGCCACCAGGCCTTTACAGTCTGTTAAAGCTATACAGCCCGTCTTATCCTGACATACTTAGACACATTATCCTCTAGGCCTTGCGTGTCTCTGGAATATTTCCTAATACTTGTAAAAATCAAAACCAAAATCACACACAGAGCCCATTACAAATGAGGACAGGGCAGAAGTATTCATTTGCTTGGACTGCCGTCCCTAAACACCACCCACTGGATGGTTTCAATGACAGGAATTTATTTTCTCAGAGTTGTTTTTTCTTTTTTTTAAAAGATTTTATTTATTTGACAGAGAGAGACACAGCGAGAGAGGGAACACAAGCAGGGGGAGTGGGAGAGGGAGAAGCAGGCTTCCTGTGGAGCAGGGAGCCCGATGTGGGGCTCGATCCCAGGACCCTGGGATCATGACCTGAGCCGCAGGCAGACGCTTAACTGAATGAGCCACCCAGGCGCCCCTATTTTCTGAGTTTTGGAGGCTAGAAGTCTGAGATCAAGGTGTGAGAATGGGGCGTCTGGGGGCTCGGTTGGCTAAACGTCTGCCTTCAGCTCAGACATGATCCTGGGGTGCCGGGATTGAGCCCCGCATCCGGCTCCCTGCTCAGCGGGGAGTCTGCTTCGCCCTCTCCCTCTGCCCCTCACCCCTGCTCATGCTCTCTCTCTCAAATAAATAAATAAATAAATAAATAAAATCCATGGCAGTTTTAAGTGGCTTTGCTTTGTGTGGAATTTTCCCCAGTGCCAAGTGCCTTGGCTAAAGACGGCCTCTAGGATGGGGCAAGAGCCTAACTCAGTGATCCTGCCACGCCCATGATAACCTTCCTCCTGGGAGTGAAGTCTGAGAGCAGGAACATCGAGTAGATGAAACAGGAGCAAGCTGTGGATGGTGAAAAGGCCTTAAGGGGCATGTCCCTGAGGGGATGGTACCTTTTATGGGGTCACAGTCTGGCCCTCAGATTCACTGGGCTGGCAAATCCATCTTAACAGTATCCTGTAAGTGAATAAAAGTGGAGAGGTTGACTCAGGCCCACTTCACATATGAGTGGAAGATAATGGTTACTGTTTATTGATCATTGGCGACATAGCCAGCATGTGCTAAGTTCATTCATTCATTCATTCATTCAGTAATCATTCACTGAACTCCTGATATGTGCTAACCACTGAGGATACAGCAGCGAAGGCAACAAACAGACTCTTGACCTGAGAAAGTTCACATTCTAGTGGCAGAAAAGGAAATTAATAAACAAATGAGCAACTGTTTAATAGGTCAGATGAAGGTAGTGCTAGTCAACACTCAAGAAATATGGATGCAAGAAGGGAGTCTCAAAGTGAAGTCACCTGTCCAAGGTCACATGGCTAGGACTTAAACCCAAGGCTCCAACACTCAGGGGTCTTTATCATCCATTCACCCATTTATTTTATTTATTCAACAAATATTTACTGAACATCTGCTATGTGTTAAGAATTGCGTCCCTCCGGGGCGCCTGGGTGGCTCAGTCGTTAAGCGTCTGCCTTCGGCTCAGGTCATGATCCCACGGTCCTGGGTTCGAGCCCCACATCGGGCTCCCTGCTCAGCGGGAAGCCTGCTTCTCCCTCTCCCACTCCCCCTGCTTGTGTTCCCTCTCTCGCTGTGCCTTTTTCTGTCAAATAAATAAATAAATAAAAATCTTTAAAAAAAATAAAAAAAAACAACTTAAAAAAAATTGCGTCCCTCCTAGAATATTCTCAGCCACAGCACAGCAAAAGAGCTAAGGGCTGGACTCCACCTCCCCGCAGGAGGGACAGGTGTCCAGATGACCAGGATTCGCCTAGGCCCCGCCCTCCAAAGCAACCAGGGATGACACAGTGCCAAGGAGGGGCATCTGTCAAGCTCCCCACTAGCTCCGCCCACCTCCGTCGTAGTCACGACTACCAAGAGCCCACAGTGGCTTGCAGGGGTCGCAAGGGTAGGTCGCTTATCCCGGCGACCAGAAGTTTCTTTCATCGAGACCCCAGCCCCCGGGGACTCTGTCTCCCAGAAAGGATCGTGCTGACGTCACAGGCACCGCCACTGGACTGTGGTTAGTGGATCGGGAGACCTCCTCCTGCTCCGCCTCACTTTCCCCTCACCTCTGAACTCTGTTAGCGGGATGGGGAGCCAGACGTCCGCGGCCAAATTCTCCGACCCTTCCCGGAGAGTAGGACTCACCTTCTTAGCTGTCCCGCGCAAACTTCCGGGTGGCGGAACGGGCTGCGCGCGCATCCTCCACCCGGAGGGAGGACAGCGCCCGCGCAGGCGCTGCTGACCGCCAGACCGCCCTCGGGTCGTGCCGGGGAGGGATTATTTCCTCATCGTCCATCCCAATTCCACCCTCTTTTGGAAGGCTCCTGGTTCTATTGCGCATGTGCCAATTTGGAGCCAATCGTAAGGAGGGATGAACTACGAGGCATCTCTCCACCTATCAGAGAGAGGTCATATTATCATTTTTCCCCCCTCAACTCCGCCCCTTACTTCCAAGCGTCTTTTCAGGAAATGCCTTCTCAACGCGTTTCCATGGCAACCCTCTGTCGCCTTCAGGCCGGAGTGCGCTGATTAGATTGTCGTTCAACAGGGTAAAAACTGGACTACAATACCCACACGCCACCTGGTCCCGATTTTGTTTCTACTCTATTTCCCAGAGTGCTCAGCGGAACCTGTAAGGCCGAGGAAGCGGGTGGAGATAGGAAGACAAGGGGCGGAGCCCGCACAGTCTTCTGGGAAACGGAGTCCTCGAGCTGGCGCGGAGTCTCCTGGGTGGAGTAGTTTGAGGAAATTCACGCGACGCCGGAAGTGGTTACGAGGCGCGAGTGCGAGGAGTTGGGTCAGCGTCTCCTTCCCGGCGGGAGTTGCGTCTGTTAATCCGGCGGACTGCAGTCTTCAGGTGAGGAGACGCCGAGGCTGGCGTCGCTGAGTACTCCGGAGGCTTGGGGGCCTCGTCCTTCCTGAGGGGTGACGGAATGCTCACGGGGCGATTTCGGCAAAGGGCGCGCCGTCTTGGGCGGTAGGTGTCTAGGTGAGGTCTTGAAGGCTGTCTTGTTTAGAGCCTGTTCTGGGCCGGGCTTTCGCTGAAACGGTTTCCAGTCCTCACCGGAGCCCTTGAGAGGAGCGGTTAGATTTTATTTTGAGTGAGGAGTCTGAGGCCGAAGGAGGGGTTGAGTTGCTCGAAGTTGAAGCGAGGCAGATCTCGAGGGATGAATGAATGGGAGGACTTCTTCGGGAGGTCGAAGTATTTCACCTTCGAGCGCCTCCTGTGTGCCCGCCGCCGCGCTGTTCTCGGGTTTCCTTCTGTCATCTCCGCAGCAGCGCTAAGTGCAGCTCCTCGCTTTTATCGGCTCCCTTGGCAGCATCTCGGGAATCACATATTTTCAGAGTTTAGAAAGTTAAAAGGGTGCGTATTTCATAGTTAGTCAACACCCCAGAGGGACCTGGGGCAATTCTTGGAAATTGATGATTTCTGCCGGGAAAGGCGTGAATCTTCACACTATACGCATCCTGTGGCGATTCGGGTTCAGTTTTGCTGTCAGTTTATGAATAAAGTTCTGGTTTTCAGAGCTTTTTTGGTTTTTAGAATGAACAGATGCGGGACTGTGGATCTGTTTCATTTGTCCCATTTTGTACACGGGGAAACCAGGCACAGAGAGCGTGAATGACCTAGATCTCGCCATGGCCCCACACTAAGAAGCAGCAAGACTTCCCAGGAACTCCAGGGCCCACGATTTTTCAGTCCTGTAATTGTTTGGCTCAAGTTATTCTGACAGGCTGGGTGACCTTGAGCTTCACAGTCGGGCTCCAGTTTTTTCTGTCCCATGGCTCAGAGTGTGTGAGATATGGACAGAACGTGATGTGAAAACTGTAGACGGAGGTCTCAAGCTCAGATGTCTCTGAGAGTCAGGCAGATAAGTTAAAGGAGAGAACCTGTCTGGAGGAGGGCTGTGGGGCATCAGGGAGCACTTGCCCCATCTAAGGGGGTCGCTTTAAGTAGGCACCAACTGACAGATCAGCGGGCCAAATCTAGGATTTTTTGGACACTGGAAATATAATTTTTTTTTTTTTTTAAGATTTTATTTATTTATTTGGCCGAGAGAGAGACATAGTGAGAGAGGGAACACAAGCAGGGGGAGTGGGAGAGGGAGAAGCAGGCTTCCCGCTGAGCAGGGAGCCCGATGCGGGGCTCGATCCCAGGACCCCAGGATCGTGACCTGAGCCGAAGGCAGACGCTTAACGACTGAGCCACCCAGGCGCCCCTGGAAATATAATTTCTAAGCGAAATAAGTTTGAGGCTACTTAAAATAATTTTCTTTCAAAACCTCCTGTCTGCCAACACTGTGGGAAAAACAAAAACAAGAAAACACCACATCTGTGGACCAAATTATACTCACAAGTTGAGGCTTAACCTCCGTCATGTGAGGAAAATCACTGATGAGTAAATGTTAGCACTTACAAGTCTGCCACATTGCCTAATTTGCCATCAAAATCTGGAAAGCCCCAAAGATCATATCTTTCCATAAATTTGGTGTCCAGACCTAACTGGAACTGCTAAGAGTGATAACCTTTAATTATCCTACCTAGAGTGAACATTTATACCCGTCACTCTAGAAATAGCGACGTGTTCAATTACAAAATGCTGCTTGTCCCACACTACACTGTGATTTTATTTTTTTTATTTTTATTTTTATCTTTTTTTTAGATTTTATTTATTTGACAGAGAGAGATAGCGAGAGAAGGAACACAAGCAGGGGGAGAGGGAGAGGGAGAAGCAGGCTTCCCGCTGAGCAGGGAGCCCGATGCGGGGCTCGATCCCAGGACCCTGGGATCATGACCTGAGCCGAAGGCAGATGCTTAACCGACTGAGCCACCCAGGTGCCCCTACACTGTGATTTTAAAGAAATATATTGTATATATGGTATATCACCTTCCAAAAAATCTGAAAATTTCTGACCTTCAAAGCACATCTGGCTCCAGAGGCTTAAGACTTGTGGACCCATCATTATGACAATCCTGCTGCTTTGTGATAGGGGTATTTTCATCACTCCATAGATATGTGCCGATTAGGAAGTTCATAGGGCTACCGATGTGTAAATAGCCCTATGGTACAGTGTTTTGTATATTATGGGTCATGAAAATAGCTCAGTGGGCAGTGGCCATAATCTTTTTTTTTTTTTTTTAATGAAGTAAAATAGAAGAGACCAGAATAGAAAAGATCCTGGTACATTCTATTTTTTAAGATTCAGTATTATTTCATGAAGCTTTTGTTTAGTTATGTGTGTGAACGAGTACTAACAGTATATATTGTCTTTGTTACTGTGGGTCATGGTTTAAAAAAAAAAATGTTGGAGAAATCTTGCTGTTGTAGAAATAGCAGGTTTTGGAGGCCAACTCACCTGGGTGAGATCCTAGAGATGACAGATCAGAAATCCCAGAAAGGTCATCCCAGGGTTTCAATTAGACATTGTGTTCTGCCAAAAAAAACGTGTAAAAGGTATCTCCTGTGCTGGGCCTGAGACACAGCAGTGAGCAAGAGGGAAGGTCCCACCACCTTAATGGGCACCTCTCCCAAACATGTTATCTACTGACTGTAACAAGTGCCAGGAACAGTTAGGAAGTTGCTTTGTAGGTTCTGATGCACAGTGGAAAGGAGGGGCTGGGGTAGTTTCAATAAATACAAAGTTGTTGTGATTCCTGCAGGGAGCCTCAGGTTCAGTCTGATCCTCCTTTTTTCTCCCCCCCAAAGGCAGACGCCCAACTGACTGAGCCACCCAGGCGCCCCCAGCCTGATCCTCCTACTTCGGGACATTTTGGGGGTTCATCCAGCATGGCCAGGGAGTCAACCCTTGGAGGAAGGGAGACTTTGCCCCAGCTCCCTTGTCCCCCCTGCAGCCCTGCCAGTGGGGAACATGGAGGGGAAAGAGAGGGAGCTTAAACGAGACCTCCAGCTGCTGGGCCCTAGTTGGCTGTGACTGAGGTGAGTTGAGGGCCCCTCTGTCCTAATCAGTCATCCCCAAAGCCTGCACAGCTGGCCTGCCTTTATTCTGGGCTCATTGTCCTCTGGTGGCCCCCAAGTGATCCTCTCTTTATACTGTCGCTCCCCTGTGCAGTACCCTTCCAGGAATCCTTGCTGCTTGTAGGATAAAATCCACATTTCTCAGCACAATCCTGCATGATCTGAGTCCTACCACCTTCCACGGCATCTTCTCTGTCTCCCTAAGTAACCAAAACTCCTTTCTTGGCCTGGTGGTAAAATGTTACACTGTACTTTCCAGATTCCCAGCCTTTGCTCAGGCTCCATCCTCTGCCAGAATACCCTACCCGCCATCTCTGGCTGGTAAGTCTTACACAGCCTTCAAGACACAGCTCAGTACCCCCCACATTCTCCGAGCAGTCAGCTCTTCCTGGCTCTGCTCTCCCATAGCGCCCCCTGCTGCCTCCACCATAGCACAGATCCACCTGGATGTGGTTGTTCCTGCCTCCGTCTGTCAGCCCCACCAGACAAGGTGCTCCTTGGGGATGGGTACTGATTGGGACTCACCTCTGGGCCCCCAGGGAACAGCACAGGCCTGGTACACAGGAGTTCTTGAGGTGTTGCTTGAATGATGAAAGAAAACCTTCCTCTACCTGGTAATACCTGCTTATCCTTAATGATCCAACTTGAATATCTCACCCGACCAGGCAGCTTTCCCTGACTCCAAGGCAATGTTTTCACGCCCTTTCCTGGCCACAGCCCTGGATACCGCCCTCTGTCACAGCCCTATCTCCTTATGCTGTCAGCATCCCTGAATGTCCCCTCTAGGCCAAGGACAGGGTCTGACACCTCTGTGCCTCCAGCATCCTCAGAGGGGTCTGGCACACAGGAGAAATGACTGTTGAATGAATGAATGCATGCTCTGACCTTGTCACTGGCCAGTATAAAACTCTCTGTGGCTCCCCAGTGCCCCACGAATCAAGTCCAGGGTCTTCCCACACCCTCCACCACTATTTCCAGGGGTGCTGCTGTCCGGCAAAGTCGAGGAGTCCAGGAAAGGAAGCTTCTTGGGACTCTCTAATCTGGCTCCTGGTGAGAAAACCTCTTTGGCTAATCCCTTCCGACAGGGTATAGACAGCAACAGTTTCAACTACAAATAACAGAACACTCGACTCAACCCAGTTTAAACTGTCAGTAGGTTCTGTAGGGCACATAACCGAAAAGGCCAGCGGGGGTGCTGGCTTGACCCGCTAGCTCACCCAGTGTGACCAAGACCCAGTTTATCGTCCCCATCTCTCAACCCCACTACCTCTTGGCTCCAGCCTTGTCCCGAAACAGCTGTCAGAACTGCATGCCCCCACGTGCCTCCTACAGGTAGGCTTTGTTCTAGGGGCTGTATCCACACACTAGGGAACCAGCTGATGTGGTCCCTGCCGTCATGTAGCTCCCATGTTACCGGGGGGGTAAGAGCGTGTCTGCTTGGGAGGGCTGCTGTAACAAAGTGCCTTGAATGACAGAAATGTATTGTCTTAGTTCTGGAGGCTAGAAATCTGAAGTCAGGGTGTCTGCAGGGCCCCTTCCTTTTGGAGGCTGTGGGGGAGAATCCCTTCCAGGCCTCTTGCAGCTTCTAGAGGGGCCTGTGTTCCTTGACTCATGGTCACATCCCTCTCACCTCTGCTTCCTTCATCACCTTGCCTTCTCCCTCCTTTGACTCCCTCTGCCTCTTATAAGGATATTGGTCATGACAATTAGGGCTCACCTTGATCATCCGGGAGAACCTCCCCATCTCAGGATCCTTAACGTGTCACACCTGTGAAGTCCCCTTTGCCGTACAAGGTAACAGTTGTGGGTTCTGGGGATTAGAACATGGATGTCTCTGGGGGACCATTATGTCTAAGGTCTAAAAGGGTATCTCAAACTTACCTTGCACCAGACCAAACTCAGACTCTGCCCGGAAACCTGCTTCTCCCACGTCTCCGGAAGCTGCAGCTCTATCCTTTGGGTTGCTCAGGCTAAAATTTTAGAGACGTCTGGGCTCCTCTCTGTCTTTCACCACTACATTTGATCTCTTAGGAAATGTTGTCAGCACCATCATCAAAATGTCTACATCTCATCCTGTCACCCCACTCTCCATCCCTGTCTCATTTCTCGTCTGGATCATGGAATTCATCTTTTTGCTCGTCTCCCTGCCTCTGCCCTTCCACCTTTTATCTTTTTCCAGGAGGAGGATCCTGTTTAGAATATGCTTAATTGATACGCTTAATTTTTGAGAAATCTTTCTGTTGTATTTTTTTTTTTTTTAAGTAGGCTTCATGTCCAGTGCAGAGCTCAGCACGGGGCCTGAATTCATGACCCTGAAATCAAGATCTGAGTTGAGATCAGGAGTCGGACGCTCAACCAACTGAGCCACCGAGGTGCCCCGAAATCTTCGTTGTAAAATAAAGCACAAATGCAGAAACCCATGCATGTCAAATGAATGACTTAATGAAGGCAAACACCAACCAGGTCAAGAGTGAGACCTTGGCCATCCTGGAGGCCCTTTGTGGGCTGCATTCCAGCCCTCTCACGTACCCATAAATAACCTGATTTTTGTAGTCATCACTTCCTTTTTTAGAGAAGTGAGGGGGGAGAGGCAGAGGGAGAGACAGTCTCAAGCAGACTCCAGCATGAAGCCTGATGCTGGACTCCATGCCACAACCCTGAGATCATGACCTGAGCAGAAATCAAGAGCTGGACACCCAACCGACTGAGCCACCCAGGTGCCCCTTCCTTCTGGTTTTTTGAACAATAGTTTTATCACCCAAGTGCATGTCCCTGTTGCCCCTTCTCTTTTTTTAATGCTTTTTTTTAGGGGTTTCTTAACATATAGGTTCCTCCTCTATCCCATTCTGTCTTAATAGCTTGTCCATTGAAGAACCAGGGCTGTTTGACCTGTAGAATTTTTCCCAGTCTGTTTTTTGTTTTTTTTTTTGCTGGTTACTTACTTTTGGTGCTATTCAGCACGCTCCCAGTTGGTGGCTGGATTCAGAGGCTTGATCAGCCTCAGCCAGTCCTTTTGTCAGAACTTGGAGGGGTGCCTGAGTGACTCAGTTGGTTAAGTGTCTGCCTTCGGCTTGGGTCATGATCCCGGGGTCCTGGGATTGGGCCCCACGTTGGGCTCCCTGCTCAGCGGGGAGACTGCTTCTCCCTCTCCCTCTGCTGCTCCCCCTGCTTGTGCTCTCCCTCTCTGTCAAAAAATAAATAAAATCTTTAAAAAAAATGATTGGATAACTTAAAAAAAAAAAAGAATTCGGGGAGGCCCAGAATGTCCAGTTCTCTCTTTTTGTGATCCTGGCAGGAATTGATACTTACTGCCTTCTCATCTCAGCATTCCTCAGGGCTTGCAAGATGGTGGTGCTCTAATTCGTTCCTTTTCATTAGTTGGAATACTCTTATAAAAAGATATCTCCCTGGGGTTCCTGGGTGGCTCAGTTGGTTAAGTGTCTGACTCTTGGTTTCGGCTCAGGTCATGATCTCAGGGTTTTGAGATTGAGCCCTGTGTTGGGCTCTGCACTGAGCGTGGAGCCTGTTGAGATTCTATCGCCCTCTCCCTCGGCCCCTCCCCTGCTGCATGCACTCTCTCACTCTCTAAAAAAAAAAAGATACCTCCTTTCATCTTCTATTTGGTAACCCACTGGTACAGTTCATATAGCAGAGGTGGGATAAATGCTTGATTCTTTCCTCTTATTTACCAATTTTCAGTATAAGATCAGTTCCTTCCTGTCATCCTTTGAAGATGAGCATTTTTTTTAACATACCCACGTGTGTGTGTTGACTGTTATTAAGAGTTTTACAAAGCATTTTCCACAAATACCAATATGACACACCCAGACTAACTTCCATAAGAACTAGACTCTTCTCTTCTCTGCCATGTGCCTGGCACGAGGCAGGCTCAGAGCAGGTGCTCGGTGGTCCCTGGACGATGGGTTGTGCTGTGGAGACGGTCCTTGGCTCACTGAGTCCCCACAGCAGCAGTATTTTAGAGATGAGGAAACAGGGCCTTAGAGACAGGGAATAACAAGGTCCTGTGGTTAATAAATGGCAGAACCAGAATTTGACTTGGGGGTCTGACAGACTACGGAGTCATGCCTCTAACTAGTTGGCTTCCTAGGGTCACACAGACAGGGGGCTCTCGCTCCTTTGCCCCCACTTAGCGAGTGTGTGACTCGGGGCAGGTGAATTTGATTCTCTGGGCCTCAGTCTTACCTTCTGTAAATTGTGGACAATCCTGCTTTCAAGGAGTTGGTGAGTGAGGACTCCTGGCTGAGACTTGGGATGGGGATGGAGAGGCGTGGAACTGTCCTTTGGTCCCTTTGGTTGGGTCCTTTCTACGTGGTAGGAGGACTCAGTCGCTTCTCGGAGCAGTGACTCATGCCATGGGTTTCGTTAGTCCCATCTTACTAATGGGGTAGGAATCAGGGTTCAGAAGGGGCATGTGACTTACTTGCCAGGGGTCATCCACAGGGAAGGTAGCAGCACCACGTGCCAAGCCCAACTAGAGACTCAGGTTCCGTTCTTAGGTAAAACATGCCTGTAGGGGCACCTGGGTGGTGCAGTCGGTTACGTGTCTGACTCTTGGTTTTGGCTCAGGTCATGATCTCACGGTCATGGGATCGAGCCCTGCATCGGGCTCTGCTCTCAGCATGGAGTTTGCTTGAGAGTCTTACCGCCTCTCCCTCTCTCTCTCTCAAATTAATGAATAAATCTTTAAAAGAAGCCCATGCCTGTGTGTGCATTGATAGCAGTCTGGAGAGAGCTCACCAGAGAGCCATGGGTCCTCCTGGAGACGGGGTGCTTGGGGTAAGGCTGGCACTTTTTTTTTTTTTAAAGATTTTATTTATTTGAGAGAGTGAGAGAGGGGTGAGAGACAGAGGGAGAAGCAGACTCCCTGCTGAGCAGAGAGCCCGATGTGGGGCTCAATCCCAGGACCCCGGGATCATGACCTGAGCCAAAGGCAGATGCTTAACCAAATGAGCCGCCCAGGTGCCTCCCCAACCCTTTTTTAAGTAGGTTCCACACCCAGCGTGGAGCCCAACACAGAGCTTGAAATCATGACCTTGAGATTAAGACCTGAGCTGAGATTAAGAGTAAGATGCTTAACCAGCTGAGCCACCCAGGCGCCCCAAGGCTGGCCCTTTATTATCAGTACTTTTCGAGTATTTGAGGGTTTATTCTAAGTACGTATTCACTAGGAAGTTTTCAAATTAAGAAAGATGATGTCACTTACAGTTGGACATTTGGGTGCCTCAGGCCGTCATGCAGCCCAAAATGGACCCAGCACCACCTATGAGGGCTCTTGCTTCCCCTCAGAAGTCGTACTGAATCTAATCAGGCCGCTTACCAAGCAGTTTCTAGGAGATGCGGTGAGCCGAGGAGCAGCCAGATGACAGCGAGAGGAATCGCCACGTCTACAATGTGGGACCTTCAGTCGGGATGGTGGAGAATGAAGAGGGCAGAGGGTACAGCTGTAGATTAAAAACCTTCAGAGCCATGTCAGCCCAATGCAGGGCATGGGCCACTTTGGCTTCTGATTCAAACAAGCCAGCCAGAAAAACATACCATTGAACCCACAGTGGTCAAATCATAGACAGAAAGCAGATTGGTGATGCCAGGGGCTGGGCTGGGGCTGGGGGTGGGGAGATGGTGGTTAAAGGGGACAGAGTTTCAGTTCTGCAAGGTGAAGAGAGTTCTGGTGATGGCTGCATAATGTGAATGCGTTTAATGCCACTGGATGAAGTGGCATTTTTTTTTACAATTAAAAAGGAAAAAACCACCATTGAGATGTCAGACAAATCTGCATTCAGACTTTGAATATGGTCTAGGTATTCAGTGATTAAGGAGTTCTGTTGTAAATATTGAAGTATTCACAGCGGAAATCAGATGCTGCCTGGGATTCATTTTGAAATAATTTGTCCCCCCTGCAAAAACACTAATGAACAAAATAGACCAATGTTAACGGGTTGAGGTCAGGCGATGGGTACATGGCGGTCTGTTACATGCAAATCTCTACTTCTGTATATGTCTGAAAATGTCCATAATAACTTAAAATCTTGAATGAACACTCAAAAGCAAGAGCCACAGTAAATAGATTTTAGCAACAGGCAGACATGGATTTAAGTCCTGCCTGTGTGACCTTTAGGGGACCTCACGTCCACTCTCCAAGATTCCATATCTCGCCTATAAAATATGGGGATGCCCAGTCTCTTATGTCTCAGGGCCCCCAGGAGATGATTTTTGTCAAAGGCCTGGTATGTTGAGAGCACAGAGGTGCTCAGAGTGAGCCATTGGGTCCTTCCCTGACCCCAGTCCCGGTGTCACTGACAGCATGTCACATTTCAGGAATTTGTGCCCCTCGGGGATGCAGCCATGGACTTCACATTGGAGGACTGGGAGCACCTGGGGCTGGACCAGGGGGACCTGTTCTGGGACACAGCGCTGGACAACTACCAGAACCTATTCCTGCTGAGTGAGTGTCCACTCTAGCCCCGGGGTCCTGGTCACTGCCCTGCTCAGTGGCTCCTGTCCCCCAGGATAAACTCGGCTCCTGAGCTCCAGAGAACCAGCATGACGTGGCCCAACAGTGCTCAGCTGGCCAGTTCTGGCCACAAACCCCCCTCCAGGGACATTGGCAATGCCCTAGCTGATTATCAGCACTTGGGAGTGGGGGGTATGCGCCTGGCATCTCGTGGGTAGAGCCCAGGCTTGCTGCCACATGTCCTGGAATGCAAGGTCAGCCCCTACAGCCGAGGATTATCCGACCCCAAATGTCAGAAGTGCCAAGGTTGAGAAACCCTGATCACCCCCACCTGCTGCTCTGGCCTCATCAGCACTTTCCTCTTTGTCGTTGTAGAGCTGACAGGCAGAGTCCTTGCATCTGCCTTCCCCTCTGCTAGAAGACTCGTCCCCTCCCTGCCCCCAGGACAGCCTGTGAGCAAGTCCTCCTCTGTCTCCTGCTTTGCTCACCCACCACCCCCGCACTTGCTAACTGCTCATTTGATGCTCTGTCTCCTGCAGCTGGGACGGGTGCCCCCTGAGGGCGGGGACTGTCCACCCATGCTGCTCACGGGTATATCCCCAGTGTCTGGAACAGTCTGTACCTGCCGTGGGGACTCACTGAGCGGCGGCTCAGTAAATGCAGGAGCAGTTGAGTCAGGAGCCGGGTCTCATGCTGGGTCAGTGCTGAGAACTGCCCTTTAATCCTACCGTCCCCCCACGAGGAAGTCTGACTCCCTGTTTTGTGGGCCCTTCTGAAATCGAGGTCCACAGAAGGGCAGTCACCATCTCAGCTATGCTGAGGTCCCCACAAGCACCCTGTGTTTGGTGGTGCACGAGGAGGACTCGCAGGACTCAGCATGTAGTACTCCCGGCCACGACATATTACAGAGAAAAGACCCAGCATGGGCAGCAAAGGGGAAACCAGAGCCAGCTTGCAGAGCCCTCTGCCTGTGGAGTCCCACAGGATGCGTACCGAGGTGACAACACATGTGAAATGTCTACCAGGGATGCTCGTTAAAGAGACTCAGTGCCCATAATTTTTATTGGGGGCTGGTCACAGAGGCATGCTCTGCCTGGAATGTACCAGAATTCTAGACTCCCAGCAGGAAAGCAGGTGTTGAGCATGACCCTTGGGGCACAGCTCCTCTTGGTTTGGGAAGTCTGCCACCCTCCTCAAATCCAGGTGCCCAGACACCAGCCAAGGGCCAGCCTTGCAGATTTTCTCTCAGCTCCGCCCGGTGTGCTACAGAAGCAGCTTGGCTCAGACCTCCGTGTCTTTTTTATTTGTAAACTATGGCCCACAATAAATGCATGTTTCCCTTGACTCCCCTGCACACATGTGTGTACACCCGAGCAGAGTATTAGCTTCCTATGGCTGCTCCTACTCATGCCACGAACACAGCAGCTTAAAACAATTCTTCTAGTTCTGGAGGTTGGAAGCATGAAACGGGTCTGACAGGGCTAAAATCGTGTGTTGGCAGGGTTCGATCCTTTTGGAGGCTCCAGGGAAGAGTGTTTCTTTGCCCCTTTTCAGCTTCTAGAGGCACCTGCTTTGCTTGGCTTACGGCCCTTTCATTTTCAAGCCAGAAGGGGCTTTTCCTCCACTGTAGCTCGGACCCCCGGTATTATGACTCTGCTCCCTTCCTCGAGCAGTTAGTTTGCAGAGGGCAGAGCGCGGGGCCGACTGGGCTGTGGGAACCCGGCATGCTCCATCCCAGGCCCGGCCTGTGGAGGCCTCAGGTGATGCGCGCTCCCTGGGTGAATGCGTGAGCCGTGGATGGCTGAGTAAGTACGAGCCTCTCCACCTGGCAAACCGCTCATTCCTCAAGAGCTGCTGCAAGTCCTTTGTATCCCCAGCCCCGGATGTCACAGCTCTGATCACCCTAGATTGTGACTGTCTGGGTCCCTCTCCTCCACTGGACTGGGAACCCAGCAGGGCAGGTGTCCCTGGAGTCGCCCAGTGCAGCGTCTGGCCCTGAGGAGCAGTACGCTGGATAAAGCATTGGCTAGGCAGGAGAGCCAGGAGGTTCCCGCTACGCAGCTGGCTGGTCCTCCATGTCCTAGTTGATGACAGTGCTCTTCTCTGCCTGCAGACCCCTCCAAACCCAAACTGACCTCCCATCCAGATGGCACCGAGGAGCTGAAGGTCCTGGTGAGAGAAAGCCCAGAATCAACAGGCCCTGGTGAGTGGGCAGGGAGGGGAGGGCGGTGGGCCTGTGCCACGTGGCCCCTTGTGTGCCGTCCAGATCCAGAATGTCTATCCAGACATCTTGACCCCAGGCTGATGAGTGTCACTCTGCCATGTGCTGGCTTCTGTCCGCTCATCCTGGCAGGTTGGGACCCTCCCTCTGCCGGCCTGTCTCATCTCCATCTACATCAGTGTTCAGCATGCGGCTGTTCTGGTGCCTTTCCTCTGTCCCCTCTTCCATCTTTTCAGGCTGAGCAGGAGGTGGCCTTCCAGGCCCTGATTCAGTCTGTCCACCTTCCTGCCTTGTGCCTGTTGAGCCCTGCGAACCCCCGGTCTGTTTCACCCCTCTTTGCATAGGTCCGTCCCACAGGGCATAGCGGGGGGCTGCATCTGTGAATAACGCAAGCCCAGGCCTTAATGCAGCCAAGAGCATTTGTTCGGGTCTCTCCTAGGCCATGGTTCCTCTGGGTGGAGCAGGTTAGGCAGTGAGGGTATTAACCTGGTTGAGATGTCCCCAGTGGGAAAAGGCAGAGACAGGGGCCTTGCCTGGGGCACAGGAGGCTGTTCTCATGGTCAGATCATTAACACGAGAAGGGCCCCCAAATCAGAGATCATGGGGGGGTGGCCGCATGGCTCGGTCTCAGCCTCCACCACCCAGTCAGGGTGCAGCTCTGTTCTTGGCTCACTGCTTGTGAGCTCATGCATGTGGACCCTCTGTAGCCTCCTGTCGAGCACACCAGTGTTTGTGCATAGGTGACCAGCCCAGCACAGAATCCGGCCACCTCAACAACGTATGCTGTTTCCACGCACATGTAGCCGCGCCTTTACCAACCCAGTCTGTCCTCCGCTGGTAATAACGGTAGTGCGTTACTGTCATTTATCTCTCTTTCCCCGTTGAACAGTGCCCTTCTCCCGGAAGCAGGCCATAGCTGATGGGGGTAATGGCAGAGAGCATCCGCTGAGAGGCTCCCCTTCCCAGTGGAGCCCCTGTGGCTGCCCAGTTCCCCGCTTAACTGTCCTGGAAACGGGCTCTCTGTTTCCTGTGATGCTAGTTCCAGCCAGGTCACGACTTCGGCCCCTGCTCCTTCATCACCTTGAGGACAGGCTGACTGAGGAGCCATCACCCGTTCTCCCTCTTGTCTGTGTTCTCACCCTGCAGCTCCAGACTTTTTTACCCTTGGGAACAGGAGACATCTGCACTTTCTCTCTCTTTCAGACACAGCTGAGGTCAAGAACTGTCTTCTGGCCCACGACTTCTTGGAAGAAGGACTCTCCCAGGAGATCGTGGAGACGTTTTCCAAGGATGGCCTCTGGAACTCCAGTTGGGGGAAAGCCTGTGTAGGTGAGAGTTGGTTAGATAGTATCCTAGGGGATCCAGAAAGTTTTCAGAGGTCTGACTTTGTTACCAACAAGGAAAGTCCCATAGAATGCAGGAGTCACGAACTCAAGAGAGACCTTGGTCCTGAGTCTCTCCTTTCCACAGGAGAGGATTCTGTGATTCACAGTCTTCCTGAAAAGAGCCTGGCACCAGCTACATCTCCAGAGCATGGGAGTGACTTTGGCTGTGACTTAGACCAGAGCCGGCAGGAGACTCTCCAGGAAGGGGAGAAACTGTATAAATGTAGTGAATGTGGGAAGAGCTTCAGCCAGAGTTACCACCTTATCCAGCACTGGATTATTCATACTAGAGAGAAACCCACTGTACATCAAGAGTATGAGGAATGTTTCAGCCAGAGTTCTTGCCTCTTTGTGCCTCCAATGACTCACACAGGCTACAAATCCTGTGTGTGTACCAAGTATGGGAAAACTTCCAGTCAGAATACACACCTTCTGTGGCATCAGAAAATTCACACTGGAGAAAACCCATCTAAGAATCAAGATGGTGACCAGCCATCAGGTCTTGGCTTACAGCCTGCTGAGCATCAGAAAACCCACACGGGGGGTCAGTCCTACAGATGTAGCGAGTGCGGCAAGAGTTTCAGCCTAACCTTTCATCTTACTCAGCATCAGAAGACCCATACCCAGAAACACTATGAATGTTCCAAATGCAAGGCGACCTTCAACTTCCATAAATACCTCCTCCAACACCAGAAAATCCATGCTGCAAACACGCCCTCTGAGTGTCAGGAATGCGGGAAGACCTTCAGGCGGAGTTTGCTGCTTGTCGAACACCAGTCTGTTCACACTGGAGAAAAGCCTTACAAGTGTGATCAGTGTGGGAAACCCTTCAGGAATATCTCAACCCTAAAGATCCACCAGAGGGTTCACAGTGGAGAGAAGCCTTACAAATGCAGTGAGTGTGGGAAAGCCTTCTACCGGAACACTCACCTTAATGAACATCAGAGGATTCACACTGGCTACCGGCCCTATAAATGTCACAAATGCATCAAGAGTTTCAGCCGGCCCTCCCACCTGATTCGACACCAGTCCATCCATGCCACAGAAAAACCCTACAGCTGTGCCAAATGCAAGGAAACTTTCAGCCACAATGAACACCTTGTCCAACACCAGAAAATGCACAATGTGGAGACCCCGTATGAGTGTCAGGAGTGTGGTGAGCGCTTCATCTGCAGCTCCACCCTAACTTGCCACCAGACTGTTCACACCAGAGAAAAACAAGGACTTGGTGAGAGCAGGAGGATCCTGAATCAGGACTCAGAGCAGAGAGAGCAACCAGGAATCGGCGAGAAGCACTTTAAGTGTGATAAATGCGAGAAAACCTTTAGCCGTAGCAAATACCTGACTCAGCACGAGAGGGTTCACACCAGGGTGAAGCCCTTTGAGTGTAACCAGTGTGGAAAAGCCTTTGCCCAAAGTACACAGCTCATTCGCCACCAGAGCATCCACTCTGGGGTGCGGCGGTATGAATGTGGGGACTGTGGGAAGGCCTTCATTCACAGCACTTCCCTCACCAAACATCAGTCTGTCCACAAGAGCAAGCACCCCTTTAAATGTAATGAATGTGGAAAGACCTTCAGTGAAAGTGCACATCTCTCAGAACACTGGTTAATCCACACTGCAGAGAAACTCTTTCAGTGTAACAAATGTGACAAAGGTGTTGCCCACGGTAACTGCCTTACTCAGCATCCGAGAGCTCATGCTAGAAAGAAGTCCTTTGAGTGTAATGAATGTGGAAAATCATTCCATCAGAGCTCGTGCCTTTCTAAGCATCAGAGAGATCACACAGGTGAGAAACCCCACAAATGCAGTGACTGTGGGAAAACCTTCAGCATGGGTGCTCAACTCATTCAACACCAGAGAGTTCACACCAGAGAAAAGCCTTATGTTTGTCAGGAATGTGGGAAAGCCTTCAGCCAGAGCTCGTGCCTTTCTGTTCACCAGCGAGTTCATACCGGAGAAAAGCCTTATGTTTGTCAGGAATGCGGGAAAGCCTTCAGCCAGAGCTCGTGCCTTTCTGTTCACCAGAGAATTCATACTGGGGAGAAGCCTTACGTGTGTGCTGAATGTGGGAAGGCCTTTGCTCAGAAAGCAAATCTGATGCAGCATGAGAGAGTTCACACTGGGGAGAAGCCTTATGCCTGTAGGGTGTGTGGGAAAGCCTTTGGCCTCAGTGCCCATCTCAGTCAGCACCAGAGAGTTCACACCCAAGAGAAACTAGCAGTGTCAACCTTGTCAGCCCTTTGCTGCAAGTCTCAGCAGACATCAGCAAGTTCACACTTACAGGTAACAAGGAGTTAAGTAGAAAGTAACAAGTAGCAATACTTCCTACTGCTGGGTTGCAGCAAAGTCCCAGACATCTGAACATGGTTCACCTGAGTCCTAAAGTTGAGATCACATTGTAAGCTCCCTCTCCCCAAATAAATACATCTCTTTATCCATAAAGAGTGATTAGAAAATTTGTACCCGAGTTTCATGAAAACACAGTAGTTAACATGGGAATTCAGAGGTAGACCTGAGCCAGTTGGCTGAGTTAAATCCCAGCTCTGACACGTGCTACGGAAGTGTTCTGGGGAGAGTCGTGGGACCTCCTAGGGCCTCAGCATCCTCATCTGTAAAATGGGCACAAGACAATGACCTATCTCAGAGGGCTGTTGTGAGGATAAATAAATAGATGTAAAGAAGCACTTTGAACTGAGTGCCCAGCACGTAGTAAGTACTCACCAAATGTGAGCTACAAATACTTATGATATACAACAAATATATTAAAAAGAAGGGAAGAATTAGCAATCCTCTATTTACTGCAGTTAATGTTCTTGCTAATACTGTGTGGTGGCTTTCATTTTTTAAAAAGATTTTATTTGAGAGAGAGAGCAGGAGCAGGGGTGAGGTGCAGAGGGAGAGAGAGAATCAGGCTCCCCGTTGAGCAGGGAGCCCAACCCAGAACTCGATCCCAGGACCCTGAGATCATGACCTGAGCCAGGCAGATGCCCAACCAACTGAGCCACCCAGGTGCCCCTCATTTTTTTTTTTTTAAGATTTTACTTTTAAGTAATATCTATACCCAACGTGGAGCTCAAACTGACCACTGAGACCAAGAGTCATATGCTCTTCTGACTGAGCCAGTTAGGCACCCTTGCATCACTTTTATTTATTTACTTTTTAGATAGGTTTTTTTTTTCAAGATTTTATTTATTTTAGAGTGAGTGGGAGGGAGAGGAAGAGAGAATCTGAAGCAGATTCCACGCTAAGCACAGAGCCTGATGCAGGGCTTGATCCCACAACCGTGAGATCACAACCCCAGCCAAAACCAAGAGTTGGATGCTCAATTGGCTGAGCCACACAGGTGCCCCACATAGCTTTCATTTTTAAAGGTTTCTCCAAAATGCCCCTGACTAAATTTGGTTCCCCAAACCCAGCACCTTGCTCTTTTCTTTAAAAAAAAAAGTCATTTCCTTCCCTCTGCTCCGTCGTACTTTCTTAATTAACCCACAGAAGCCAAGAAGAGCATGTAAACTAACACCAACTAGTTAGAACTTTCCACTCCTAACCTCCAAAACCTCCCACTCAAAAGGACACCCTCCCACATATACATGTCACCACTTCCCATAATTTAAAGTTGGTTATACAGCATGAGCATGAGGCCCAGTTTGCTGTGGGAGTTAATGGTACTGGAAGCAGTGGGATTCATCTGGGAAAGCTGCATTTTATATTTGCTACACAGTTCACAGATGTCCTTGATGGTAGAAATTGTAGTATACAGAAATGACAGCTAACATATTCCTCATGCACTGTTTGTCCAAGCCAGCCACTCACCAGGCACTTTGTCAGGCTCCAGGGTAGGGAATACCAATGCGGTAAGCCCTGCCCTTGCCTGGAAACTTCTGGAATCAAAGGGAAGTGGATGGCCCCATTTCCACGGAGAAGTACCATTCATTGACAAGTGACATGTTAAATTCCCTCATGTCACAGCAAGTTCTGGGACTGTGGCGGAGTGCTGGCGAGCCCAGGGAGGACACCATCCTGTTGGAGACCTCAAGTCAACTGCTTAACCTTGGCCCGGCCTGTTCTACAGCTGAGACCCCTTGTGGAACCACAAGATCAGCTCCCTCTTGATGATACCTCCTCAGCTCTGGGTTTTTGTGTCTCACCCACTGAATGACCAGTGACCTGTTTCCTGAAGCACAAACAGAATCTAATGAAGACACTGACACTTGTGATATCTTTCATGTTTTTGGTGCTACAAAAGCTTAGGAATATGTGCTCTGTGCTCTTGAGCTTTTTAAACCTTGCACCTTGAGTTCTGCTGGTTGGTCTTGTTGTTGTAACTAAGAACTGATTGGCTGACCACTGGGCCCACACCACAGTGGGGAACATACTGGTTTTCAAATGGCCAAAACATCGAACTCCCTGCACATGGTCCCCGCCCTCCGATCGCTGTGTAGTCTGTGCGACGGGCCTGTTCTCTACCAAAGGGGCAGAACAGACGCAGGAGCTCGAACGGATGAGTGTGTTCAACGAGAGTTTTGACACCAAAGAGAGAGTCAGAGGCCCTATGGAAAATTGGCAGCCATGGTGGGGGGCAGTCTCTGTAACTACTGACCTGTGTTGCTGTGGGGCAGTGCGGAAATGCCCTTCATGTGTGCGTTTTGGTTCTCTTAGGTTCTCTGATTAAAGTTTTGAGTCTATAAGCGTTGGTTGCTTCTTTCAGCCTGCTGCCACGTACCTGGCTAGATGCTGGGCACACGGAGGCCCCTAGGCCTGCCAAGTGCTCATGTTCTGGAGGAGGAGGGCTTCTCACAGTGAACACTGCCCCATGAGAGGGGATAGTTATGTCTGTTGTCCCAAAGTGTGGGTGGGGCATGGACACCGGGGAACCACACAGTTTTGCTGGTCCTCAGATACATCATCAGACCACACTTCATTCTAGTGTGATCCTGACTGAGAAGGAAGCATCGACCGCATGTCGTTCACTCCTCTCTGGATACAAAGACACAGCAGGCCTCAGGCTCAGGCAGTCATTGTAGATAGAAATTAATACTATTTTCCTCTCGGTATTTATTTTAGTTCCTTCCCCCCACCCTTCCTCCTTTACTGACAAGAGAAACTAGTTTCCCACTCATGGCAGTAGTAGAAAATCCTCTTGAAAAATAAATCGATTTAGAGGCTCCTGGGTGGCTTAGTTGGTTAAGTGCCTGACTCTCGATTTTGGCTCAGGTCATGATCTCAGGGTCCTGAGATTGAGCCCCAAGTCAGGCTCCACGCTCAGCAGGGAGTCTGAGATGCTTTCTCCCCCTCTCCCTCTGCCCCATCCTCCACTTGTGCTTGCTCTCTCTCAAATAAATAAATCTTTAAAAATTAAATCAGTTAGGGGTGCCTGGGTGGCTCAGTTAAGCATATGACTCTTGATTTCAGCTTAGGTCTTGATCTCAGGTTGTGAGTTAAGGGGGGAACACTGAGTTTGGCTAAGGCTCAAAGGATATCCTCCTGCCAAGGATAACTAAGCATGTCAGGATGAGCCAGATTAATGCTGTGCCAACACAGTTAAGTGTCACATCTCAGTGGTTGAACACAAGTTTATTTTGCTCACTCATGCTACATGTCCACTGTGGGTTGGTGAGGGTGAGGTGGGGTGGGGAGGAGGTGGGGCTGTATCTCTATCCACCTGAGAAGTCAGGGTTCCCTTTTTGAGTCTGTTGATCCTTCTGGTCACCTCAATAAGGAAGCGGCTTTCGGGGCACCTGGGTGGCTCAGCCGTTAGGCGTCTGCCTTCGGCTCGGGTCATGATCCCAGGGTCCTGGGATCGAGCCCTGCGTCCGGCTCCCTGCTCCGCAGGAGGCCTGCTTCTCCCTCTCTCTCTGTCTCTCTGTCAAAAAATAAATAAAATCTTAAAAAAAATAAGGAAGCGGCTTTCACACCTGCATCTATCTCCCTGTCTCCTCTTTCAGGCAGAGCAGGACTCTGCGGCTCTGCACTTGGGGTGGACAATCTGAAGTTCCTTTATTTACTCCTACAGCAAACTTCCATTCATGGCATACGATACTGGTTGTCCACTCACAGTTGTGGGTGAAAGGCTTAAGGGGTGTTGATTGAAATCAATGGGTCAGGAGAATCTTCGTGCAGGTAGCTGGCATCTTAGGCAGAAAGAAGGTGGCTGCTCGGCAAACACCCAAGCAGGGGGCACGCGGACGCCTAATGTTGAGAAGATACTGCTCTAAGGAAACTACCTAGGAGCCTACTGTATAAAACATGAAAGTGGATGCACCCCGGCCAAAGGGGAAGGAGGAGCACCCCTGCCCCCACCATGGCCCCAGCCCCAGGGCACTACTGAACAGCCCACAAACCTCTCTTCTGGAGGCGCTTTCCAAAGCTGCCTGGAAACAAACATGGAGCCCTTTGACAATATCCCAGGTGAGGTAGACCCACTGAGATCTGAGCAAGCAGCAGAGATCTTGCGGTGCTCTCTGCCAAGGGGACTCCCTGGGAGGCTGGGAAGTGCAGCAGTCCTGAAGGAAGTGGTTCCCCACCTTGTGCCATCATGACCCAAATGACCACAACATCCCATGCACCTCATGTGCTGGGGTACGAGATAAAAGCTGTTGGCATTGCTAGTTACAGTGAACGTCTGTCACCTCTGAGATCCACCCTTCACCTCCCCAACGGTCCTGCCTTCTCTTGGGGACACATGTAGCTCTGTGTCCTCTACATTCCATCCCCGTTCTAGGCAAAGAATATATGGCCTAGTTTGGCCAATCAGCACTCCCATCCCTGATCACTGTGATTGATTCAGAAATGGGCCTGACCTAAGCTGGGCCAAGCACAGCGAATCTCAGGACCTCTGCTAAGAATGCTGGAGCAAAGATGCTTTCTTGCTGGCCATGAGCAAAAAATGCACGGAGCTGTCGCTGGCAAAGCCACCTAGACAGAGCTGCTAGGGATGGCAGTGGGTTAAACAGTGTCCAGAATTCACACTCATCCACACAGAATGTGGCCTTGTTTGGAAATAATTAAAGGCTTGAGGTGACCTTATACTGGGAATCCAACCACAGGCATCCTTACAAGAGGAAAGGCCACAGACACAGAGAAGGTCATGTGGGGATGGAGACCGAGGCGGGGGTGATGTGGCCACAAGCCAAAGAACACCAGGAGCCACCAGAAGCTGGAAGAGGCAAGGAAGGATCCTCCCCTCAAGCCTTTGGAAGGAACACTGCCCTACGTACACCTTGATTTTGGACTTCTAGTTTCCAGAATTGACAGAATAAATCTCTGTTGTTTTAAGCCACCAAGTTTGTGGTACTTTGTTACCACAGCCCTAGGAAACTAAAACAGGGACTTGCTCTTAGATGAATCAACATTTCAGGAACTGAAATAAGCAGACAGGACAAATCTGGTGAAACTGTTGAGCTCCTGGATCAAACCTTACCTGAGCACACTTTGGACTTTGAAGTTGGCCAAAGCCCATGACTCCCCTATTTGTTTAAGCCAGGTGGAGGTGGGTTTTCTATTCATCCCAGCCAAAGAATTCCTGGCTGATAAACTGGTTTAATTCACCACTTCATCCCTCAGTCAGAAAAGCATGTTAATACATCAAGTGAGGGAGACATTAATGAATCTATTCTCATTGAGGTTTTTAAACTGATTACTTGCAAGCTTTGGTGCCATTTTAACTATACAGAGAAGACCTCATAACTGAGCAGGACCCCCCAGCGGCTGAAAGGCATCATGGTTGAGATCGCTGGTCTCACTCTAGACCCAAAAGGTTGCTTGAGTGCCCCCACTGGGTGGAGCCCCCTAAATGAAAACCATCTGAGGTTTGTGACAGTCACACTCTGAATGCACATGAAAGTGATCATGCATGACAGATGAATAAACAAAATGTGGCACATCCCTGTAGTCCCAGGGCTACACTGGGAAGTACCAGTGTCAACTGGGGGCAGGAAAAGGAGAGAAAAGCGAGGCCAGTTTTGAGGGCGGGGGTTTCCATAGGAAAGCCAAAGCAAGGAAGAGCACTGCTCAGGTCTGGCCAGTCTGGATGATTCCAGTGGGCTCTGAGGCACCAGGGCTGTCCCCACTTGCCTGGTACCTGGCCCTGGGATGACTTAGGGCAGGGGAAGTTGTGGCTTGGTGGTTGGGTGGTATTGGCTCCAGATGGGTTGGTTTGCAGCGGAGAGGCATGCCCTTCACTATCTCTGGGAATTGGCTGGCTCTGGGAGAGGCAGCCTCTCCTTAGACACATTAAAATATATACAGGGGCGCCTGGGTGGCTCAGTCGTTAAGCGTCTGCCTTCAGCTCGGGTCATGATCCCAGGGTCCTGGGATCGAGCCCCGCATCGGGCTCCCTGCTCTGCGGGGAAGCCTGCTTCTCCCTCTCCCACTCCCCCTGCTTTTGTTCCCTCTCTCGCTGTGTCTCTCTCTGTCAAAATAAATAAAATCTTTAAAAAAAAAAAAGTTCAGGGGCCCCTGGCTGGCTCAGTCAAAAGAGTGTGCAACTCTTGATCTTGGGGTTTTGAGTTTGAGCCTCACATCCCTTTGTGGAAAACTAGAGGGGCGCCTGGGTGGCTCGGTCGTTAAGTGTCTGCCTTCGGCTCAGGTCATGGTCCCAGGGTCCTGGGATCGAGCCCCGCATCGGGCTCCCTGCTCTGCGGGGAAGCCTGCTTCTCCCTCTCCCACTCCTCCTGCTTGTGTTCCCTCTCTCGCTGTCTCTCTCTCTGTCAAATAAATAAATAAAATCTTAAAAAAAATGAATAAAAAATAAAATAAAATATATACAAATAAGTATATTTACATACATAAATAAAATATACATACATAATACATACATACATATATACATAAAATATATACAAACAAAATATATACAAATAAAATATATAAAATAATATATAGTATATCAATACATAATATAATATATATTTATTACACATAATTGTATATAATATAATAATAAATATAGCCCCAGTATATTATATATAAATATAACTATAAAATAATATAAAATAAGTATATTTTAAATATTTATTTGAGAGCGAGAACACGGGGGAGGAGCAGAGGGAGAGGGACAAGGAGACTCCACGCTGAGTGCAGAGCCTGACGTGCAGCTCAATGCCACGACCCTGAGATCATGACTGGAGCCGAAATCAAGAGTCAGATGCCTAACCGACTGAGCCACCCAGGTGCCTGGCCACTTATATAGTTTTAAAATATCAGAGTATCATGTTACACAAAATTTAAAACACGGTTAATACAGGGGGATCTTTCTCCACCTCTTCCAGCTTCTGACAGGCCCAGGTGTTCCCGGGCTTGTGGCTGTGTCACTGAGTGTCTGCCTCCCGCTTCTCACTTTCTCCCTGGATGGCTTCATATGGTCTCCCCCTGTGGGTGTTGAATCTGAATTTCCCTCTCCCTATGAGACTCCAGTTATACTGGATTGCCCCCCCCACTTCCAACACGACCTCATCTTAACTAATTACATCCGCAACAACCCTATTCCCAAATACAGTCCCATGCTGAGATCCTGGAGGTTAAGACCTCAACAGATATATATATATATTTTTTTAAGATTTTATTTATTTGCAAGAGAGAGAATGAGAGACAGAGAGCATGAGAGGGAGGAGGGTCAGAGGGAGAAGCAGACTCCCCGCTGAGCAGGGAGCCCGATGTGGGACTCGATCCCGGGACTCCAGGATCATGA